AAAACGAAATTCTATGGAACGAAAGCGAAGAACTAGGATCAGACAGAGACCGGGCCGAATATTGCAGCTCTCGCTATAGTTGCCGTAAGATTATAGAACAATGATCGGGAGAACAACAATAAAACTTCACTAGCTAGAGTAAAATGTAACAAAAACGATCCTGCTAATAATGATAGAATGCTTGAAAAAAAACATCAAAACCCTCAAGAGCAAGAAATTTAACATTACGACAGCGATAGCGTTCGCCAAGGGATCTACATTAAATGAGACATAAGAAAGCTCGCAGCTCAGCTTACCGTCACCCATCGAACAACAGATCCAACTGGCAGCATCGTAGAGATTAAAAACGGCGATGCCATCGAGATACTAGGAGGAACCACTGGTACCATAACTAAACAAAGACCCCTAAAGAAAGTATGATGGAGCCGTAAGCTGCTCTCGAGGTAGAACTAACGCACACACCAATGAATAAAATAACTAGCGAACGAAGTAGATGGTGACGAGAATATCTCCGTCTGATACACGCAATGAATGAGCGGGGTCTCCTCCTGCTACTTAAGGCGCTTAAAATGTACTCCTAAAAACCCAGCTCCAAATCAGTGAAGTCGAAGAACGGTTTAAAAGAAAAGGAAGTCAAAGGCACTGTCAGCGCCAAGCTAGAACAAGGTAAAAGTTTGGCTAATACCGCTTGACAGCTTAAACGATACATGCACCTTGAAGATAAGGAAAATACACAAGCTAATATGCGCACCAAAAAAGAAGAACTAGCTCTGCGGGCTAGACAAGAAGAGGTGGATAAATAATAGTTTTACCGGTATTATTCATAGTAAAACTGACATGCTAACAAACTGTCAATCCTCCTTCAAGGCGACCCAGACAATTGCTCTGAAGAATTAGTCTCCTTAGAGAGAAAGAAGGCACCCATTAAAGCGGCGATCAAGCTAATAGACAACGTGAAAAGCGAGCTGGTGCTTCTTGATAATACGCACCTTTAATGTGGTGTTATTAGGATCAATGTTTGTAGATCAGAAGAAAGGATCCGCCTGCTCTGCTTCAACTGTCAGAAATTGGGCTGTAGGGCACAAGACCGCAGAAAGGCCATGACGGTAGTCTGGACTCTTTATAAGTGCGGCAGCACCGGCCACTGGCCGATAGCCCCAATGTAGAGCAGATTAGATGCAACACGTCCAGAATGGAGGGAGACAAAGCAAATGGCGAAGGCTGCCCAGCATAGAGACGAGAAACTGAGGAGCAAATAGGAGCGAAGGCAAAGTGGTACAAAATAGACAAGTAATAATATAATGTTTAACGGTAGCATAGCGCAGCAACAACAGGCGTAGATCATATTAGGGTGGGAACGGGGCGTCTAAAAGATGACTGGGAGGCAAAGAACGAACAATGAGACAAACCTGGCGACCAGATCAACGGCTGCTTTAGGTTATGCCTAAGCAGCACCTCACAGGGTCTTCAGGGTTCGTTATGTATAATAGCCTAGCACACGTAATTGGTTCATGATGTGATGATAGCAGACTTGTTTTCTAGCTACAAAGAGGCTATCTTTATATTTGCAGCACCACTTCTCGGCGTTAAAAAACACGGTTGGCTATTCATAGAAATAAGCGTCACGTTTGTCCCCGATTTGTGGAGTTCAAAATGTTTATCTTTTTTTTTTTTAGTTTGTCTTCATCAGCTGCTGTCGTTGATCTACTTGATCGTTTCCACAGCCAATATCGTTCACGTATCAAATATAGCAAAAGTGGTCTCTTCGGTAACCGTCCATTATCTAGAAGCGTTCTTGCTCATGATTTACTTAGATATCACGTCCGCCTTGAAAAAAACGTCGTAGGCCACCCCAGTTCCCATTAATGTAGAGTTTATTACGGGGAAAGAAGCACTCAGTGATGAAATAATAACCACACTGGACACAACACTTACTACACCTCTGTCTTTTCTTTAGGTACACAAATATATATATATGTATGTATATAATATAGATCTTGGTGGTAGTAGCAAATACTCAATTGAAAACCTTGAGCACTGAAGCTGGGGATGGGTTCCAGGTGAACAGTAGTTGATCGTGGGTCAGTCGGTCCTAAGCTTATAATGAAATATGTGTATAATAATGTGCTATCACTATAAGCGATGTATATATAGGTATGATGATGACTAAATGACAGGACCCTGTGCCGCTCGAAGCGTATTTAGTTGGTCAGGCGTTTTATACACTGCAGCTCTTCACTGTCGCTTAACGAAGTTCAAACGTGAATAATTATTTGCACGGAATTGACGGTTACTTATCTCAAAAACCGTAGACACAGAAACTACTCTATCATATCAGCTAAATGTATGAGCTGATATGAATTTTTTGTTTTGATGAAAAATGTGATATTGGTCTTTTGTGCACAGACGGAAAACGAACATCTTCATTCTCTCTACGTCTTTTACGTAATCGTGAGAATATGCAATGTTCCTTCAGAAATTGTCTGAAACGAGACGGAACTTTATGTATAACTTGTAAAAGCTGAAACTAACAGCATTTTCGTGCGATTAAGGCCTACTAGAATACACTACAAATGTATAGTGCCTTCAACTATTGACTTCATTAAAGCACAAAGACTTCATTTATTGCTTAATTTTCAGATGGATTCAATTAGTGGATGCGTTTAGTGGATGCCGAATGGCTAAACGGTTTAGCAGGAAAAGCCAAAGTACACCGCCGTACCTTTTAATGACATTTTACAGTTAAGCAGTTATTAACGTCACCGTAAAATATCAACAGAACTTTTTATCCATATGATTTATATTATCCGTGATATTTTTAGTAACTTGCTTTGGGTTATGTATGCTTGTGTGTACGCTTAATGATTTTCTTTTTTTTTCTTTCAAGGTAATATTTATGTTTGCCTTGGTGTTACGGCAGAAATATGAGCAAAGCTATCCGACGTTTATATTGGTGGAGTGTCTGTGTCCATCTGGGCATTTCCGCCATACGCCATCTTCACTGTACGCGTCTGTGTTATCGATTTGCACGAGTCAAAATATTGTGTGTACATTGTTATATGTATTGTCGGTTATTGAATATCGTTATAATACAAGAGCTCCATAGGCAGAGTATGTGGAATCCTGAAGAGACGTAAATTTTCTTGCTGTATAACGCGAGCTGTGTGTCCACGGTACAGTTATTCGTTGATCAGACGTTCCACTATAGAAATCAAGTATTGAAGTAGTGGATAAATCAATCATTAACTTAAAATCGAAGTTTTAACGTCGTCCTGGACCTCTTAAAATATCAATCCAAGTTTGGGTGTAGCATGAGAGCAGTTTTTAATTGAGCGCAGCGTTCATCATAAAATCGCGCGCCGGAAAACTAGCGTTATAGCGAATACCAATTGTAAAGTCGCAAACAACATAGGCTACTCTATGCTTTTTTCGTGTGGAAATATTTGGGAGAGCATTGTCTCACCGAGCTAATGGCTCACAGGGGCGGTACGACTACAGTGTTCTGTGTATCCTCTTGCTCAGATATTTAGACGTCGTAGAGCTTTCCATTCTTTCGCAGCAAGGCTGGGAATTAACCAATCATTTTTTAAAAAAATACTTTTTTTGGAATTTGCTAGGCCGTGGCTCACTTATCTCTAATGATTTTTCGAAAAATATTACCAGTAAACAGAATTCGATGTTGTGCTTTGTGACAAGTAAAGACCAGGCGAACATTGAAACAATCTACTAAGTATTGTCATTTTTATTACGATCGGGATCTAGTTTAAATGAATGATTGTGCTTAAAGGTGTCATTGCACTTTTATACAAATACAGATTATTTAGCTCCGAAAGCTTTTTGAACATATCGGGATCACCGTGCAATGCTTACATCGTATCAAGCTCCACGTCGAAAAGGACTAGGGAGAGCTGCTTCTAATCACGCCAACGACACGTATTGTATAAACAAAAAAAATATTTTTTCTGTCGTGTCAAGAGGAATCCAAACAACTTAAATCTGAGCTAACTGTAAATCATTTATGCTATTACTAATTGACGCGCTTGATACAATATGCCTTCATAAATACACTTTTTAGAACCTCCCTATTTTATAATAATATACAAAACATAAACGTATACTGTATCTAATATTTATTTATCTGGTTGATAACCTTTTTCAACAACTAATTGTGAAGTAATTGGTTAAATCGGTCTACTGAATCGCGTTGCAAAGTTTTCGGTAGAAATAAGTAGAGGTCTCCTTGTCCGAGTGCGACATGCGAGCAGGGCGTTAAGCTAGCTCAGTTACGCTAGCACTTACATAGCCTCCTAGAGCGATTCTCCTCCGTCAAGAACATGTCCTCTGGGGCAACATATCTCTATGTAGTGACGAATATCTCGAGGCGAAACATCGCGAGTGCAGCCCCTTTAGTTTCGTAACGTTTATATATGACCCATCCTGAAGCATTATACTCAAAACAAATGCTTAACAACCCTCGAGTTCCTTAAATCACGCACACTTTGTGACGTGGTTTGTACACAAAACGGGAGGGACTCATATCATTTCTCATGACATGTAGTTATATAAACTCGTCGTCGAGCGACCGACGATCTCACAAATAATGTTGATAATGATATTGATATGTGGCTACAATACCCCAAAGTTTCTACCTAGTTTGATACTGGATACAATGAAATTCAGCGAGGTTAAATCAAGCGGAAATTAAATAACAGTGCCTAATAAGCAATGATTAAAACTTAGAAGTTTACGAAAACTAAAAAAGAAAAAAAAAACAGTAGAATCCGGGCTTCCGATAACCTATCTTAGCCTGCATCCAGTTAATCCATGGAGTACCTATCGAATGCTGTAGAATGAAGTAAGTCCTCGTTAGCATATGCGCAATGCAAGAGTGACATGTAACCAGCCGAACGAGTCACGAAGCCACAGTCCGTACATAAATATAATAAATAAACACAGATTTTAGTATGCCGTTTCCTATACAGGATATAAGAGATGACATTTATTAGTCAATGAATATACATTTGACTTTGCATAGGTTAAACTCCCATCAAATGAGCACGTACTTACTTCTTCGGGTCTTAACGCTACAATGTTACGAATTACAGCTCAAGGCATATGGCTTACATAGGGTACTTGTTCACCGTAGACTTAGTTCCGTGTCTTTTTCGTTATGGCAAGGCTTGGCAGCCTAAACCAGCCCTCAATTCGATTTGCTTCAATGATTCTTTTCATTGCGAAGTTCAAAAAACCTAGGAGTCGACTTTGTCTGAAATTGAGTTAAAAGAAAAGTATCTTTCATATCCATTGCAGCCTACGATCTGCCTCCAAAAAAATTTAAAGGCACAATATATTACAAATCACGAATTGTGTTATCAAAAAAAATCTCGATATCCGATAGGGTCACTAAAAGTTTAGAGAATATTTTTTTAGCCTCTGTTCCGTTTTAATACTGCATTCTCTTAATAGAGCTCGGCGACGTAACATCGCCTTACTTACTTGGTGATATAATCTCTATGCCACACCGTAATTAACAGTGATCGGTCCTCTTCGACACCCAAAGAAAGTTCACTGAAATTGTGAAGTAGAAACTTGTTTAGTTAACTCGAATAGTGATCTATGAATATTTGCAGCTCATGCGAGACTGGTTTGAAATGATCGCTTTGGTGCCTATGTACGAACCGTTTCCTGTAACTTCTAGGCTGCTTGAACGACCGAAGTTGCTATAACTACAAATGCAACGACAATAGCACTCTGTTTTTTTTCAAAATTAATTAGCAAACTCTTATACTCAATTCCTGAACTTGAAGTAATTTTTTCTTGCTTAAAAAAGATCCACTTCAATAATTTAGCTAAAAAATATTGCAATTAACCCAACTAGTTTCTGTGGCCCACAGCCTCGTGGCAAGCGTTAAGATTCTATACAAGTTGTAACAACTGAGTTCGTCATTGTGTGTCTGGATATATTAACTTACAAAGATAGTCGGAAATCATACGAAGGATCGACCGTCCCCGAGACCAGTTGTGAACGGTGCTGACTCCTCACATCTTTCGGCTCAAGGGCAACCTTCACGTACGAGTTTAGCTCATGCTGGTCCGGTAGCAAAGGCAAATTGGCACCCCGGATTACTGTACACAAACAAATAAATAAAGGCATCACGTGCTTAGAACATATAATTATGTTACCTTTATCAAAATGTACGCGTTCATTTGTATACACGACTAAAACGTTAATCTCTCGCAAAAACGTACCTAAATGTAATGAGCAATCTTGGTAAACAAGAATATCGTGCTTTTCAACTAACACTACTCGATACACAAGCATCTCTTAAATATTCATTCAATTATTTAGTTATGACTAATATTACCGTGCACTGAGAGGTGTCCATAATTGATATAAAGGCATAGTTGCAGTTTGGCCTTTCCGCTTGCTAATTCACTACCCCTAAGCATGCCGAGGCTTTTGTTCTGAAAACGAACAGTTTTTCTGCGTTTCCGATCGGTATCATAACCACCGCTGGTTCCAGCGAATGCTCGCCAGTCGACAAATGAATTTTCATCATCAGCTGCACACTCTACCGTTGGCTCAAGACAAATTTTTCGCTTAGGTGGATTCGTGGACAATTCTCGTAGACGAAGTATGCTGCTTGGTTCGTAGTTGTGCAGCTGCTCTAGTTCACGGAATTTCGTCAGCGTCTGTGAAATTCGGGGAGATCGTCGCCTTGGTGGCGGCAATGGAGGTACGTTCTCCTGCCGCAATAGCGACGTACGCGGAAGTGGCTTAGGGAAGATCGGTAGTTCCGGTGGCACCTGTAGTGTGGTGAAATAGAAAGCAAAAAACAACCACGAAAGGAGCGTAGTTGTGTGAGTGAGGACTTTTTTTGGGAGATCTGCCAATGAAGAAATGATTATGAGATATTTGTTATAATGGTAGTCTGATAATGGCACCGAATCATCTACAGGACATTACTTGCTTTGAACGGCTGCATTATGTAGTAGATATCAATTGTAGGTAATAGTAAGGGTTGGTAACTTGAGGTAGAATAGACAGAAAACATACTCAGTTCAGTCCACAGTTGACTTCCAGCTTTCCTATCAACAGGACTTACTTCAAGGACCTTTCAAGGTAGTCAGGCCTGAGTTGACCTGACAATTCCTAAAACATGGCTTGGTTCACTTACAGCATTTTTCATTTGTGAATATTTTCGTCTAGGAACCGAAAATAACATGTAGCTAATTGTCATATACGTTAGGTAGCTAAATAGATTTTGTTCAATTCCTCACAAGGAAAACCTACATGATAAGATAAACCTCAGCGATACGTTTTTACATTAAGGATCTAGACAGATGTTGTGGAAGATATTTGCTACCTGTAGTACACAAATTTAGCTTATATTCCTTAAAAAAAAAAAAAAAAAGAGAGACAGTTTATTTACCATCGGCACGCGAAACTCATAGTGTAAGTTATCGCATTTTATATTGGTTTTATTGAGATGTGGATTCATAGAGTGCATCCTGCAAGATAACTTGTCACTAGGAAATGGCCGAGCCACGCTTGAGTCTATGGCCGTATCTCCTGAGTTCATATCAGATGACGCAAGGCAGATGGTGTTGCGGTGGGCTCGACGCTCCATTACGGCGGCTGCATAAAATTTAGAAAAAGAACACCAATTTGAAATGTAGAACATGCCAAATCAAAGAATATAACATCTAAAATAATTTATCTATTTCATTTAAAAATAGGATAGTGCACAACTTTTGTTAACACGGTCCAGTTTTTCGGTATTAAGGCAAACATTTCTACAATAGAAGAGTTAAACATTGGTACATATATGGGCTTGTACATAAACGATGAATATAAAAACATTGTTCCCTAATGGTATTTATAGACTCTATGAGCAGCCATATAATTATAGGACGGCACCGGGTAATGTCAACTGTAATTATAAATAGATTTATAATCACTTTATCAAAACCTGTCTGTGTGAAAAGCCATTGCATAACATAATGTTACAGTTGTACTTGAACAATATAGATAACTATCTGACCTTACCACGCAGTAGTAACAATCCAAGTAACATACCTAAATAACTTGTGATTACTCAGAATGCTTAAACTTGAAAATTATTCTTCACTTTGAGTACCTTAGCGATATTCAGAAAAAACGTTCACTTCCAGATGATTGTTTCGTCGAATCGCATCGAACTATGATATCTCAACGGCGCCACAAGTAACTCTAGTGGTCCGATCAATGTCAACTCATTTAAGCCACAAATATGATTTTCTATCCGTCACGTTTACATACGATAGAGACAATGTCGCCCACTTCACTAGACCGCATTCAACGAAAAGTCGGAGTAGTAAAACTGCGAATAGCTAACGAAAAAAAAAAAAAACCGGTAATGGATCTTGTGCACTCCCGGCCGAGCAGCATCTGATGTTTTGGTGTCTACCCGAGTGTTTCAACGGCGGTTATCGAAAGCACGCGAACGCTTTCTTACAGCGACCGTTAGAACGTCCCGCAGCTAGAAAATCGCGTGCAAGAGAAAGAGCATCGCCGATTGATCGTCAAAACGAAGAAGGAAAACACCATTGGAAGCAACGGCGTCATGAAATGCGGTGGCAAAATGCCCATCCGAAGCGATCCGGCGAGACGTGAACAAGAGAGGCCTCCGAGGCAATCCTAGCGCTCCAACGGTCGTATACAAGCCCTTCGCCGTCGCCTGCTGGGGGCAGGGCTTGGCCGGTGATAGTAACGGAGAATAAATAACATTAGAGAATATGTTTGTACTAGAAATAGACATACTGGGCGTATAGATGCTGGACACTTATGCGCACGATTCATAATGATAAGATTGATTTGGCTTTACAGTTCGCAATATAAGCTTCTTCAAAAATCTTGAGAATACTTATAGTACGTTGTTTTTACTCTACTTCAGCTAGTAGGTGCGTTGGTGGACCTACCATGTAAGCTAAGGTTTGTTGATTGGTATCGATCCTATATATATATATAAAGTATATAGTAGTATATAAAGTGTACGTAAGAATGCTACGAGTCTCTTTTTGAGTTTCGAAATTTGTTTATGAACACAAACGCATAAAATCTCCTACGGATCGTTATTAACCTAAAACTATATTGCATGCTTAACATGTTTGGCCTCTATTAGCTTATTTTTAACGATTACTACCATATGTTCTATTGCAGACTGACAGAGTTAGACAGTGTTCCGAGTTGTTCAATCACTGTTATTGTAGAACCTTCATTAATACAAAAAAAAACTTTAACGTGCCTCACGTTGGCAGCAGTTACGGATAGCTCTTCTGTGGAAGACATCTCCAAGATTTACTTTCCGATACTTCGTAGTTGTGTTTAAGTATGCAGGTTCTTGATTGATCTCTAGAAAATTCACGTGCTTCTCTAATGTCTTTACAGTTGTTTTACTTTATAGAAGTTGCTTTATTTTATGTGAAGAAACACATGAGTGCTATTAAACGAGTGCAAAGTCGGTTTATAATAGAGTCCATTTGTTCAACCTGTATCTGAATTGAACTTCAGGCCAAACTATAAAAGGTTTGCCTCGATTCTCTAATAATATGCCACTTCGTTAGCGCCCGAGGAAGAGTACTCTGCAGCAAACAATGAAGGCGTTAGAAGTGGCTCGAACTTAGAGACTATTAATATATGCCTATATATATATATATATCGTCGCCTGAGCTCAACACATTGATGAATAGTAATCGTACGAAAACTAACACAGAGCTACTATTGACGTAGGCATTACATAAACCGCTGAAATATTATGAGTTCATTAATAATCTGCACTCGCTTTGAATTTCGTTTAATCCATTCTACATATATTATAATTATATAGTAGTTAATTACTGGTGTCATTGAAACCAAGAAATTATTAACTATAGCTGGGCATATGCGGCTTTTCTCTGAATGTACTTTGCCCTGATAACACACTTCGCTCAGTCGTAAAAACTATTCTATTTATCTCAACAGACTCGGTAGCACTTGGCGTATAATAACACCAGTCAATCTTAGATAAATACGATTTTGGGTTGATTTTTAATTAGCGTCTTTAGTCATCAGTTCAACGGCTAAACTAGGACAATCTCAATCCAACTCAGCTCATTATGTGTTGGTACTATCAAACTGGGATGTGTAACAGGTGGAATTGGTTTCACTGACAGAGCGGTGGACTTTCCAGTTCAGAGTGGTACCTATACTGGCCGTGTTATCATCATTATCAATGTATATATTATAATCAGTATTAACTAGTACTTATGAAAACATTAAACTGATAGTTCTCCACTAAAGATAAGCAAAATTCGCTAAAAAAAAAAAAAAAAAAAAAAGAGGTTTGTATCATAGAATCATCAAGTCGAACAACAGGCCCGACTTTGTGTTAACTTGCTTAAACTTAAAAAGCTTTGCTTCGAAGTCTTGTCTGTTTTTAGTCTAGAGTTCAAGTTCATCGTGCACCAATACAACGGTTCATTGCTATCGAATTTAATTAGTTGGTTGCGCAATTGGGTCTTGTATTTGATAGGCACATTTGCATGCTAACGTAACTGTTTCTACTTGATTGATCAGATAATGATTAAACTTGATTTTCAATTGCCAGCAGCATAATATCCGAGAGCGTCAGAAAGACACAAAAGTTAAGTAAATTGTCTTCATTTTAAGAATATTGTCAAATTTTGCATGAAAATAATGTTGAACTTTAGTTCGATAGATCTATTGTACTAATTGATTACTGTTGAATCGGTCTTACTGATGTTTCTCCATTAGCTGTGCTTGGCCTAAGATTGCCTATAGGCAAAGGCAGTCGATGTGGTTTTTGGTCTATATCGACACTGAAAAACGTGAATAACTGATTCGAGTTCTGAGCTTGCTAATGGCGTTAAGCACCAAACAAAGTGCTATGGCGCGCGCGCTTTCGAAATTAGGCCACAACGTGTATCTTGGTTTATTAGGCTACCATTGCGCCACCTAACGTGCTATGGGGCATACTCGTCTCAAAGGCAACAAACGAATACTTAAATGTATTAGACATTCGGATGATCGTACACACTGGCCAATGTTCAGATTCCTTCGAGCATTGTTTAGAAATTAGAAACGAAGTAGCGAAGTACGTTCTTGTCACTCGATGCAGTTTTTTTGCAGCAGCAGCACCATCGACCAGATCCCGGACTGCAAGCTGTTGTTAGCTCGAGTGCTTTGTATGTGAATGATACGCCTTTCTACTGTCTTATCTCTATCGCATACGATAGAATATTAACAGGTGTATATTATATGGCACTATATAAGACTGAGTAATGGATAATGATATGTGTGAAAATCCGCCGTTCTGCTACGTCTGACGGGCAATTAGCCATTTAGGCAGCAAATAGGTCTGCTGCTACCTCAGCTAAGCAAGTAAAATAGTAACTGCTGCTGGAAATTTATATTACGCAGGGGCATTTCGATACCTGTAACCGCTGAATGTTTTGACACACTTAATAACATGGTGAGGATTACTCAGCTGATATTTATTGGTATTAGTTATTCCAAAACTGCCAACGCCAATTTTGTCATATATTCTTAATATGCAAAGTCAAGTATAAAGATATCCTTGGCACGTGCTACCTATTTACTACTCTACGTTCTGTTCTATTTTCCCAGGGCAGCACTAACTGTACGGCACCGACAAAGCAGCCTATATGCTGGTTTTCAGCTGAAGCGCACTTGGTCGGCTCCTTAATTTTAAGGTTAATTATGTCCACCTCTATATTTCGAGTTTTTACGTCCAGTATCGCCGTTAGGCTGACGGATGGTTGACTGGCTCTTAGTTATTACAAAACGACCCGTGTGTCTGCTTATGCCCGGGTTCGAACCCAGGCCACGACGTATCCCTAGGTTTAGCGAACAAATACGTTACAACAAAAACTATACCTACCTAGACGGATGTAGTCTCTACAATACGTATTATTATGTTACGGGTCATCATCCCTTTAGAAAAGAAAAATAATTTTTTTGAAAAATGGTAGAATATATCTATGAATTGATAATGCAAGTGTGTCATAGATTTTTTCAGTGGAAAGTCACACTGCCGATTGCGTTCTTTCGTCAATGGCATTCCATCGATTTTTTTCACGTACCCAGTATAAGCTATTCGTCTACCTCATTTGATGTAAACCATACACTTATTTTAACGTACAAAGTATTAGCGAAACGAAATCATATATACATATAAGAAACCCATTTATCTCAGACATAACAGAATAAGGTGACACTAGTAGATCCGACCACAAAGCAACTCTAGATATTTTTCCTTTTTCCCTAGTTGACGTTCAAATGCCCGAAATGCCTCACAATTTTAGGCTCTAAAGTTTTCCTGGAACTTCACTACATATATGCAATAGACTTTTCTGCTTACGATCAAGAATTTTATTTAATTAGGGTGCGACAAGGTTCTACCAATAGTTTGTCTGTTATATAGTGTGTGCTTCTTATATATATATTATATATGTGCTTCTTTTAGGTTTTAGCCCATTTTTTACGGGCTTATACGTATTTAATATACGTTTTTAACATATAAAGAATCATATGCTGCTACCTAAAAGATTGCTGAAAGCAAGGGTACGCTGTTCTACAGAAATATGTTTTCGTTTCCTGGCCGACCTTCAACCTGAAATGCTTTAAAATTCGTGGCTGCGGAGCCTCATGAGCTCTAATCCTTGGAGCTGTGCTCATCCGATTCAATCTATTAATAAAGGCTCCTTTGATCATCACTGGAGATGATCGACCACCGTCTGACCATCCAGCGAGCATATAGAATATCTTTAACGTGAAAAAGCACCGAAACCTTTGACATTAAACATCTCCGCAATTGTAGAAGCGTTACAACTGACTATTATTTTTTACATATAATACTGCTATAGTAATGATATTTTTGTTACTCTAGCCACGTTTTACGTTACCAGACGAGCAAACCGTTACGTGGCCACTACGAAATGTCTCGCGCTTTACACAGGACATTGCCACGCCGACTTCGTGTGGATCTGAATAGACAAAGCTCTCACTAACGTTGACTCTCGGAAACTGTAGTACTAGTATTCGTTTAAGCTAGAACAAGTTTTCTATATTTTTATCATTCCAGTTGCTTTCCGTCATATAATATGAGCAATATTTGTTCGTCAATAGCTGATGTCACCGAAGTGAGTAACTGATGGCGATGGCACAGATAGCGGCCACCTCCAGTAACACAGACTTTCTTATTGTTGAGTAACGTTGCATATATTCGCATTGCAAGGCTAGTATTAGTATCCGCTAGGACTGGCAGTAGAACCAAAATATAAACGAAAGGTTTAAGATGACCCTTCAACAGGTTCAAGAAAAACCCTTCAACGTAAATAATGGCCACCTGTAAACTGCTCGTATTGTTTAGTGTAGGTGACTGTTTCTGGAAACTATGGCGACTCTTGGATAACATGGACACAAGTTGGATAACACTATGTTCTAACATTAGCTAATCCATCTACCCTGAACGCCTATACATTTTTCCCTTTTTTTTTTTTTTTCGGAGAAAGGCGTTACTTGGAGGTAAGTACCGCATCCCAAAAAAGTGTTAAGCAATGATTCTCACTTGCGTATATGCGAGATGTGACTAGAGTTAGGAATGAACCAAGCACACCTACAATACAAGTTTCATTGCATTTATTGCAGACGGACGACTACCACGAGGCTGTGTTAGCGGTGTTCGGAAACTCAAATTGTAATGGAGATTTTGATCCGGCATTTTATAGACGATCATCAAGTAATATACAAAAGCTATTTATAGATATGTGCAGGTGTTGCAGATCGATAATCAACGTAGAAAAAAACGTCTTGTGTGAGAGAAGAACTCAAATTTGTTATACCTAGTTATAACCGAAAGGTTGAAGGGCTTCCATTTAAAGCTTAACAATTGTTCCACTACTTTTGTGCTTTGGAAAGTCAAACTGTGCGCAGAACGTGAATCCCACATTACGATTATAGGGAACGATATGTTACACAAATGATCACAGAGAAATTCATTAATAAATATAACTTTCAAACAACTTAGTTCTTCTGCTTATTTCATTAAAGTATAATTAAATTACGCTTAGTCTTCGAACTCTTCTCATCCATTTCAGCTTACTAGGGGAGACGGACAAATTTCGGAGTGATAATACATTTATTGATTATTTCACTATGTAAATATATACTGTGTGTGCACTTTGGATCATATTAAAAGGACCTATGGGATTAAACACGAGTGAGCCATATGTAATTTTTGGGGGATATAATTAGGCCCCACCAATGCAGTATTTTGATATCTGGAGTAATAATACTGTGCGGCAGTACCGAACGAAAAATTTAAAACATACTGTCTATCAGAAACTAGCTTCAAAAGTGAGAGAAGTATATAAAGTACTATCAATACAATTGTTTATGACCTACTTTACTGTTCTAGTACATCCTCTATCGAAGTGAGTACCAACATCTGCAGCCCGATCCAAAGTAACTATACTCTACGAGCAAATAGAAAGCTGTGAACGTATTCCAAAGTTTAATCCAGTTAGAGAGGTTCAACGTGCCAGTGACACGCTCACGGCCAACAGTCGACATTTATGCGATACAAAGACATACAAATAGATGATGATACAACCACGCCATACGAGAGAAGCGTAACTTCAGACGAAAGCTATCTCAAAGGTTCAGTTCCGATATGTTTATCCAAGACGTGCGAATTAGAATGAGATGCGTATAGCTGTCAACAAGTCGTTTTCAATGTACGACCGCCGGCACCTAATAGGAACTGCTTTGATTGACGACTTTCCCATAAAAATCCGGATGCGTGCTCACGCCTCATTTTAGTTTAAAAGAAAAAAAAGAATTGTCTATATTATCTTGCGTCTCGCTTTCTTCATGCTTATTTATGCCATTAAAAAAAAATATATTCAAAGTAAACGCTACATGTTCATTCATAGCATAAATTGTATATCAAGTGTATGAGAAGCCAATAACTTTAATTATTAATTGTTATATACGATATATTGTTAGTTATTAAGTTGTGTTTATTAGGTATTCAATACGGCTTGTATTAACAACGTTAAAATCTATTTTCTAACAGTTATACACGATAATATTATCTTATAATAACAACCTACCTGGCGGGTTTTGGTCGATGTGGGCAAATTCGTTGTCATCGTCCATCAAATAGTTCATGTTTCTGTTTTTGTTAGCGGCTTGGTAATGCTTTTGCATATCATCGTCAACAATTATCGATCGTTGATGACAGTTATCTTTCTTCTTTTTGCCGTTAATCAGAATATTCGCCAACGGTCGAAGACTTCTTCGGATCGACATTCGAACATTTCGACGCTTGAATTCGCGTTTAGCGCCGGTAATCACGCCAGCAGCTGCCGTGTTGGGCATAGGTACTTCTTCGGCGACACCCATCGCTACGATTTTCTGATCCGAGGCCAAAATACTGCCATCCACAGGCCATATACTCTGATTCATATTCACTTTGTCTGGCGACAATAACGTCGTTTCCATTTCTAAGCCGACAACAACATCAACACCACTTTTCCGATCAACTTGCTCTAGATTCAAGAATGACCGATCCTGATCAATATTATTGTTAAAACTCCGATAGGTTGAATTTGATAAACCTTTAGAACCTGCCCCATGGACGTTTCTGAATGACGAAATTATTGTATCGAACTCAAGAAGATGCGCAGCTTTACTAGCGAGTCGCTCACTGCGGCGAATGCTAGCGTAGGCAGTAGCCCCTGTTGGCGCCACCGAAGACTGGGAGGAACCCTCTCGCCTAAAGGGCATACTTCGTCTTTAGCTGGTCTCTGCCTGCACCAGCTATCGATACACCTTCCCGCTGTCTATGCCAGCCGATTGTTTTCTGTTTCGGGATCTAGCTCACTGACCGGTGCTCACAGCGCTTTTGATGTCCCGATGGGCTCATGTATACGTACGCTCTATAATGTAGATCCGAGGGGTTAGCGGGCGGTAGGTAACCTAGAGCGCACACGTGCCAAGCAAGAAAAAAGAAACTTCCACGGTTAATTGTAAACGTAACCCGCAAATAGCGTGCGAAACCGCTATTGAATACTGATAGGGTTGATTGATAGATAGTCGTTTTTTTCTCGTCGTTGACTGCTAGTTAGATAGTTAGAGTGGGAAATGATTTGCAGCGTCGCTCTGCCTCTTGTGTCTTGTAGAACTCGCTGGCTTTGAATGGTCCAACCCAGTTGCTCTAGTTTTTCCGCTGGAGTCGATGAAGAAGCTATGGACAAAGGAAGACAAGAGCACAAAACAGGTGAACAGCAGCGGCGTGGGGGAGTTATGCTCGCAAACTAACTGACTGTTTATAACTGTGCAAATATACACAACGGGCTAATGAGCGGCGCTTGGTGTCAAATTGTGATGGAATCCACCGGTGGTAAGCGGTGCAGGAAAGACTCTAGCTCAGCTATTATTGACGGAAGGTACTGATCAATGGTTAACCACAAGAAAGTTATGCGAAGCCATATACGAATGTAAACGATAGGCAGACTTTTTTTTAAAATAAGCTGCGGGGTTACTATTGTCTAAATTGCCCGAATTCAGATATTTGGAGCCAAATAACTGACAAAAAGTCCATGTCATAATCACTGAAGGCAATCACCGCATGTAAAATCAATGAAGCGGTTAGTCAGGACTCTGCCGCTTGAGAGGCATGTAATCATTTCAGGTACAGTGGAGCTAGCACACGGAATAACTTGATAATTTTTAAGTTCTAACGAAATCACTGCACACAGACATTTAACCACACATAGACTGTGATAAAACGTGTATAATTCTCCTATACTCTGCTATACCGAACAGATTGCCGTGGCTAGAAATTGTATCGAGCCATCAAATCGAACCGCAGGTGTGACTCAATGTGAATACTGAGGTGTATCCAATCCCAAAATCCAGACGCTGCTACTTCTATAGATTGATTGTTTATCGCCTGTGGAGAGTGAGCTCGGGAGAGAGCATGCTCCGCCAATGCTGTATAGCATAAACTTTCTAAATAGATCTCTACAATTTTCTACCTCTGTTACTTTGCTCATTCGAATCTAGACATCAACAAACCGTGAGAGGCATACAGGTATTTTTGGATTGGCTGGTGTACGCAAAGCCACCTTTTTAAGACATACAGGCTAACATTTGCATAAATCAGAGTCGGCAAAGGAAGGTGTCGCCCGATTGTTTTGCCGTAGTATAGATAACAGCGACAGATAAAGCGTAGAGAGACGATGGTCGGCGCAAGGCAAATGGCGCTGATGCCCTGTCGTTCACTTGCGGTTGATTGCCATATTTGATGCTTCGTAGAAACGGACTTCAAATAACGGAAGAACCGTCTGAGCATGAAAAAAAGAAGTCTTTTTTTTTTCTAATTTAGAAGTTCTTTTGGTGAGATAAGAGAAAACATAAACGGCTATATACATAGCATTCTGCAAACCCCTTCAATCAGATCTGTACGCAGGACTGATCACTTCTAAAATGAGGTAACACTGCTACTAATTGATTTCCCGATACGGATGCTGAAATTCAGCATACACACATACATATCACCTTGTTTTTGTCGCCTAAATCAGCTTATTTTTGCGTCCGCTTCATTCAATGTAAAAACTTGCATCGACGTCCCAAAAAGGACAAGTTAATGTCGATCGATGCATTTTACCGATGCTAAAACATAATTTATATGCTGGTTTGAATATTTCTATTCTATATTAGTTATTACTGCTCGTATTGATTCTACCAACCATCTTATTCGAATTGATTCTAATGACATACATATATACACATTACCCTAGAGCACCTTCGGGCAAGGAGAGCAATACGTATAAAAAAATAGCATTGAAAGATTGAAAACTGCTATGTCTGCAGCTCGCATTACGCTAAACCGCTGAAGAAGTGCTCAGGTGCGAATTATATATACATGTGTAAAAAGAGAAAAGTACCTTTTTTCTCAGAAACTCTCTCTCTCTCTCTCCCTCTCTCCATATCTCTAGAAGCTCATTTCCTAATACTTTGGCTAATGTCATTCTGGAATACACCATCAATCAACCGTCTAAGCCGGCCTTTGGGCCAGCTCGGTTGTTTACATGGAATCGACGCTAGTTCCTCAATTTTTTCCTCAATGAAACTGACGTGCTTGTCATTCACGAGATCTGTTTCTGAACGTTCCTGTTGTGAAAACCTTTACCCAGTGTCACAGATCCATTAACACCGATTAAGAAAAACACAAGGTTTCAATAGATATCTGATCGCTCGACTAACCAACGTCTTTCGTAGTCAAAAGGAAAAAATTCGCTTACTATTTAACATGTCAAACACCCTGTATATTTTCTCTGATCTTTGGGTTCTTAAAATTCTTGCTGTGTATTAATGTAAAATAATTGTCGGCTGTTAAATAATAATAAATATATTTATTGAAAAAGTGTTTTTCCTTGAGCAGAAAGATATTGCGTTCTGTGCGGCGGCACGTACTATGAACAATAAGAAATGAAAAAAATTACGATACACCCAGTATATTTATCTTTTTTTTTTATACATCGTTAAAGTGTGCTTGTGTTTTTAATAGAATCTCGTGATTTTTTGCTTGGTGACCTCAAAATTATATTAACCCGTGGCTGTGTGTTAAGTTGCCACAAAGTATGCCAATGACTACGCCGACATATGGTTTTTTTACAAAATGCCTGTATTTAGTCAAAGACCAGGTGATGTTTTCGTCTCCGATTAATGACGAATCATTTTTGCAGGAAATGACTCATTAAAAATCGTTTAATGGGCTATGGGTGTAAATAGCTGGGAGCTAACCGTCTGATGGAGTGCCTTGCGGCGACACCGGACATAAAACTCGAAACAGAAAGGCCATCGGCGTAGAGGCTTGGACTGCATTTTTTTAAAACGAATAAACAACGTGGAACAGTGTTTCTAAGACTAACTAAAAACCAATTTTTGCCATATTGTAATATTTCTGTTGGGAAACGTTTAAAAAAGGCCAGTGCGGTACGTCTCGGATCGATCGTTGATGTCAATATTTTCTTAGTAACCATGAATGCATGAATCTTAATAGTGTCCCAGTTTTTTCTCCCATTTCCAGAAATCCTTTGTAACCACAGAACCCTTTTAACTCTTCACAGAAGATTCAGTTGGAGTTCAAATGATTGATAAGGCGAAAATAAGATATTTTTGCTAAATGGATCGAAGAAACACAACAACCAGGCTCACTGAAAAGGCTAAAGATGCTTCTCCTTGTTTTTTTTTTAGTACTTATTACATAGGATTTATAAATAGCCAAAGAGATTTCAAAGACGTCTGTGATTAGTAAGAAACAATCCTGCGGTAATGCATGAGCGAGATTACGCATGAGCATGCTCTTTCAAAAGTGTTGAAGGAAGTGGGGTTAGAGAGCTCATAGACCGCAATCTATCACACTGGCAAAAGCGAAACTTTGAAACTGAATAACGTTTGAACTAATAAGGCTGGAATGATCATTTTCCAATATATGTTGCATGCACTCTCCTTTATTTTTGCACGCTTGTCGAAGCACTTTGAGGCCTTTCAACAACTATTAAGAAACTAGACTTCGTGCTTTCGACTGTCGTGCCAAGGTACCATGAGGGACTTCAGATAGTGGACTCCATCCGTTGTTTCATCTTCAGCGAATATGGTATAGTAGCAGATGCCGTTGAGATCCGTTGCACGTATTGCCATCAGCTAACGTTTGAACCGACTTGACATTGCCATCAAACACGATTTCTTGCGCTTGGTCTTTCTTCGGCTGGCGGTAGAAATTAAACCATATCTAGTCTATGGCGACCGCATAATCCAGGTAGATTTTTTGTTGATTCCGTTAATTACGCGTGGAACACTCTGCACGCATTTCTAACTGGCCTGGCGTCAATTCACGGGATACCTATTTTTTACTCAGTTTTCGCATTTGCAATATTCAAGTTATAGCCCTGAAATACGGCCAACAGAACCCTTAAACGTCAAGCTCTGCTTTTGCAAAAAATTTTCGTCGATTTCAGCGGCGTGTTTTTGTCACACTCGAATCCCGACATCTGGTCACCTCTTCGCTAGCTTTCAATACTTCAATCTTCGTTCTTAAATTGTTTGCATTACTCACATATTCTGCTTTCGTTTAAGATCCCCTTGTTTAATGTCTTCATCAGTCCTCGTTGAATTATCTGTTACTTTCTGAGGAACAAAAACCTGTTTACTGAGAGCTGATTTTTTTTGAGACTAAAAGATGTTTTTCTTATTTAACTCATTTTTTTTAGAGAAAACTCAATTTGTTTTCACCCCCAAGTTTCCAGAAGATTTGACTATTTACAAGCCTGTTTCGTCTGCTAGCGGCGTTTAATTCAAAAGCTATGCAATTTCGAAGTCCACAAGATTGCCTGTAGCAGCCTAATACAAACACCTGATTTGTATATTAGTTCTTAATTCTATGATCAATAGTATTTGATGTTCTATAATCACATGATGGTTTACTTATTCAGTTTAATATCTTAATTTACCTAAGCTATGATACAACAGGCAAATGTTCATTCACAACAGTTTGTGCAGAATGCCGATTGTATGCAGACAACTAGGTTCCCTGATATCTATAGGTAATGCATTATGAATACCGATACAGTTTTCGTGTATCCACTGCGCCGTTATTTTTCGTATTAGATGCTCCGAATTTGACGTCCGATCCTATGGCCGCTAGCCATTGATTTAGACAGCTGGTTTGTATGAATGCAAAACAGGACGTGATGACACCTGGTTTCCAGCTCACCAGCTTCGTTGGAAACGCTCTGCCACTGCACCATCGCGACCACTTTTCGTAATGCAACATTGAACTACCCGTTCCTCTTAGATTAATATACACTTCAGTACAGCACTTCCTATTAACCGGTTCGGGTTATAGAAGAACCGAGTGCAGTTTTTGTGTTGAAGAATATTATTACATCTGGAAAGGTGGGTCGTAGCCAATTTTCTCAAATCTTATTATATTGATCGATCTCATTGTCGATTAGTCTATCTCCAGATTGGAATCTAAATTTAAAGTATAACTTTATAGACGGATATAACATAATAAATATGAACTATGAAAAATGACAAGCGCAAAGTAAATTGACATTTTGCATTGTTATTTACCAAATATACCGTTAATAATATGCCTATGATTAAATAGGAGAAAGAAATTACACTATCTTGCGTCAGGAGTCCGTGTTCCGCTCTTTGACCCTTATTTACAGAAGCCCATATCCAGGTCATCAAGAATCATTTGAAAGACACATGTTAATTAAAAGAAAATTTCGCTGAATGACTGTATTTGTCTATCTATCGAGCACTTAAATTTGATAATACTCAATTGTATCTTAACAAGTAAAGACTCATGTTAATCCAGCTGGTGTCTGGTCGTGTTGCGGTCGAGCACCATAATGTCAATATATTATAGAAACGTTGATAGTTTTCGAAGCTAAATGCTCTAAAACGACTACCCTCCTCTATAAAGGTTTCAAAGTTTAAGAATGAGCCTATTAGCTCCTCCAGAGTTTCAACATGTACGTGTGGGTTACTATATTAATGCTACAGTTTCGCTGCTGACTTAAATACTCATCAACCTGACGCGTTAAATAAAATATCCCTTTTAAGTTCGCAAATGTACAGAATTGACGAGTTTACTTGATAAGTCTATCAGCATCTACTTTGTATGTTATTAAATTACGCTGCGATAGACGCTGTGCACACAAAGTCACTGAGAACGCTCACGCTTAATGGTACAGTATAGTATATTGTATAATTATAATTATATTAGGTTTCGTTAGAAGATGATCATGCAGAATGACGACTGTGAAGCAATCGCATGATGAACTGCTTAGCACACTTAGCGCTTTTTTTATAACTGAAATTAGGCAAATAATAATAAATATAGATGCGATAGTTATACTTTCTTACTGGGTCAAAGAATCTGAATGAGCCAATAGACAAGATTGCTCCTGATAAATATAAGTTATTGAATCTTATGAACTAGCTTTATTGAAGATGAAAAAGACATCACTTTTTTTGTACGAAAGCTGCCCCCACTCTCTTTTCCTTGCTATTTTATTCACGCTTATATATATATATATACATATATATATATATATATATATATCTATATATATCTTTTTTGCTCCATCTTAACTCTTAATTATATTTAACTTAATTATGATTTTTATACAATGTCGTCACCTTATATAAGCATTCGTCAGCATTTTTGTCAACATTTGTCAACAACTAAATGACGCATGGCATGTGACAAAACGCGCATTCGGCAGTTTTGTCCGACTGATCTAGACACGTAAGAAGCGTCTGAGCCCTCTGCGTTCCATACAGGTTTTGTGTGCAACAAAAGCGGGCGGTTCTTGTAGACCGCTTATGTGTGTAGGCGAAACTACAAGAAAGGTAGCGTTTCAATCATGGTATGACGTCGTGCAGAACACTACGCGTCAAGGAACCAACGTTGCATCCCCTAGCAATTGCTGGACAAACAACCGCAAGGATGATAATAACAACTATCGATCTACTGGCATTATTTTGTGCACTATGTTTTCTAATACACGCATTACTTTGTACTTAAATTTTGAAACATAAATAACATCCGTAGCTTCTAGAAGGATTTATGTGCTTAAGAGGAACTTTAAAGTCGTTGATTTTTTTTTTGTTCTTTTTCCGGTACTCGCCAAACCCGTGTAATATTTGTTTTTCTTTTGAATTAGTTTGTGCGGCTGTGTGTTTCTTCATGAAAAAGTTTAACCCATGTTCGAAGTTGGAATATTGCCGTGCTGATGCTGGACCTATTACTGCTACTATCCTATATAGATGCTACGTTAATGTGTTTGAAAGCTTTTGTCACACTTTCGTAGATTATCATCTGTTTGTTCATTTATAATCTGTTTATCTACAATTTGTTTTCTTGGATATTGTCTGCTATGTTTACTAAGCTATCTTTGCAGCTATGTTTGCTTGTTGCTGTGACCACCTTCATTGGTTGGTGTCATTATTCGAACTACTCCCGGGTTAAAATTCTGAATGTTATTACTGCTTTGATGATCACTTGACTGGCCGAAAATGTAATACGAGATCACCGGCGCTTTTCCACATGAAGTGTTTCACAGTTCTCAGATCCATATTGGGCTCGAGAACCTGATCGAGACAGAGAAGTTCGACCTGGCATTGGCCGGGGGCTGTCGGAGGAGACGGCTCTCCAGTCCCGCTACCCTCCCTTGGGCCACCAGCGCTTGTGGTGCCACCACCTCCACTGCCTTCGCCGCCCTGACCTCCGATCACCTTTTCATACACGTGCTCAATGACCTTTTTCACCTGGAGCATGTCGTTAGCCGATAGCCGCTCGCGCCTCAGTGGCTTGACACCCGACGATGAGTGTGGCAGTAGAAAAAACGGGATTTTGTTAAGCAGTGGGGTATTCTTTTGTACGACTACATCGGTGACCCAGGGTGGTAAACAGTCGTGAAGAAGCTGTTGCTCCGCATCCCGGCATGCATCGCCCACCAGCATGCGTAACAAGGTGCGACCCTCGGAAAGATCAGTAATGACCAACGGTGTATGCTTCGGTAAACCGATTTCCGGCCAGTCGATCGAAATATTCTGCTCTTCGTCTTTTATCGGCCAATAGTCCAACAGCGACTGGAGCACAAGACATCCCATGTTAACCTTAGGGTCTTGACCTTCAGGTGGAGTCAGCCCAATTTCTCGGGCGGCCACCCACGCCGAGAAGCAATCCGGGTCTTCAAGATGTATACACAACATGCCAGTTTTCAGATCAACAGTAAACCAATTTGGAACATAAATCATTCGGAATTGTTTTTTAACTTCGGCGTCAAAGTCAATCTTGCCCAAGTTCTCCCTGTGGCCTCGTAGTATATCGTAGATAGCTACACAATCATTTGTATCTTTGGTAAGTATATGGCGTTTATCGTTGAGTACCTTATACTGTCGGATACTGGCACTTCCTTTGATCGTTGCTACCGGTTTTTTCTCACTTCGATCAAGCGTACTGGCTGCCGTGCCGATTTTTTCATCTGCTAAAGACCATTTGCGCAAGCTCGAGTCCGTCGTTGCTACCCACAGATGGCCGTCATTTGTTAGGTGCATTCTCAGAATAGGGGCGTGTTCCACGCAAACAACATCACTGATTTCTGGACTTGATAGATGTGTTACGTAAACCTTCTTGTCACGGCCGCCTGAATAAACTTTACTAAAATTTGAATCTACTTGTAATGCCCAGACGCCTTCTTGGTGGCAGCTAATCGTTTCTATGCATCGCTGTTGGCCAAGACTCCACAATTTCACGGTGCCATCCGAGCTCGCTGATAGACATCGCGATCCGTCGTGGTTGAGCACAAGGGCACGAACATTGTCCGCGTGGCCGCGAAGCTTTGGCATTTTCTGCGTCGTACGCGGATCCCAGACGCGGATCACGCGCTCGGTAGATCCACTAACGATCACCGTCCCTGACGGATTCATCGCTACCGAATAGATTGAATCCTTATTATCGGTAAGCGACGAGGTTGTCACTGTGTTGTTCGATGCGCTTAGAGCAGTTAACGTGTTGGCATCCCATAAATAAATCACTTTGTCGAGTCCAGCGGATGCGACCCGCTCTTTGTCCTGTGCGTAGGCCAATGCTTTGACGTAATCTTTGTGTGTTCGAAGCGTCGATAAACACGAGCCCTTGTGAGCATTCCAAACTTTCACCGTTGTATCTGCGCTGGCGGAGATAAGGTAACGTCCACCACAACAAAGCACAATGTCATTCACCCAGTCAGTATGGTGTTCCATTGATTGTCCATACGTTGGCTCTCGTTGGCCGACGTTCCAAACTCGAATGATGGAATCCCGACCGGCTGAGTATAGCAGTCCTAAATGAGGGTCGAATTGTAACGAGTTGATGCCTGATCGATGTTCGCGCTCCTGCGGTTCGCGGATTACAAACGACAGTTGCGACTTTTTCCGCGTCCCGCCATGCGGACCTGCGCCCTTATGGCTTGCGGTCATCTAGAACCAATATGAAAATAAAAACACAGGCGCATAGCCGTATGCCCAAAGTGGTACAGCGGCACACGTGCAGAGACAGCATTAGACAAGTAACCACTTACAGCGAAAATCGATTTCTGACCGTCACGTTCAGCCGGTTGATAACCAAAGCACGCACAACCTCCCCTTTTCGCCCATCATTATTTCAACGAGCATCAGAAAATAAATGATTTTATAGCATATAAACAGTAATATTCAGGACACATACATTAGTTAGCTTCTGTTCGTTTCAGTAGAACTAGGGGCAAATCTGTTATAATAAAGAAAAACTTTGCAAAAATCGTGATGACCACAAACTGCATATAATGATCTATTCGGTGACAGTAGCAACGTTCGAGCTTAACTGACCCGCCTGTATCTCTTTATAGTTAGCACGATAAAAACCTTTTAGATTTTTATGCTGTTATTTCGATTCATCATTGAAAATTTTTTTATTTATGATATACCGCTGTCCGAACCTTTGCGAGGTGTGTTACGGCTCAATAGCACAAGGCCAGTGGCGCACTACATTGGAGATTAGCATTTCCACTATTACCGCCTACATTTCACCGTTTTGGCTCATGGGCAATCTGAGTTACTAATGACCATTGCAGTCATTTGTCCCGACATCACAATCGAGGATTCATTCGCGAGAAAGCGAGTGAGCAATATCTTTCTATCTATGTCGTGCCTATAGCCGTATCTTTGGGGGGGGGGGTCTGGGCAGGGTTGGACACGGGCAAAAGTTTATTAATAGCTGAGTGTTGGATCAGCCAGATTCGTTTGTGACTAATTATTGTCCGTTTATGAGGATGATATTTGACAACAATTATCAAACTTTTTTGATCAAAATTTGAGAAAAGCTTATAAATGTAAAAATTAGGTGGAAATATTTTAACTTTTGAGGTGGAGGTCAGTGTTGGACCTATCTATTTGATGGAGAACGCACCTTCTATGTCCAACTTCGCTCGGATCGACCTCAGTACGTTGTAAACACCAACTCTTTCTCGGATTATGGAGCGTATTTGGTGCGAAGCTGACGACGATTTCTTCAATAGTATTATTTCACCTTCTCCAAGAAATTTCATTTAAATGCCATCCGCGTCATTTCACGAGTGAGTTCTTGTCCATGGTTAATGTTTAATTGTTTTCGCGGTTTTAAACTGAACGTTCGCCCTTTTTGGACGATAGCCGGCAGCACTGGACGGGTGCATCAAGCAGCAGGAAACGCAATAAAGCTAAATAGTTAAAGCCATAAGCAGGATTGGAAATTTCTGGCGCGAACCCTGTCTCGCATTAGAAATTTTCTGTTTGTGCGTATCGCTGTTTATTTTTTTTCATGAAGTCTGCCGTTGTAAATCGCGTTGCAAATTGAGAGGGCTCTTAACACACATATTCTTAGTACTGGCTCTATCGGTTCTATTAGAATCGGAGCTTGTGGTCCGTGTTGAAAGTGTCGAAGTGGATGTCGAAATCTGCTATAATCGTTCCAGCTGATACGCGGACAGTATTCTCACAACTATGGCTTCAAATAGAACGGACGAGTTTACCGCGGCAGCGTTTCACGGACGATTGAACCAACAGGACGTACACTTCCACGTTATACGGATGTCCCAGGCGTTTTTCCTTTGGATTGGTGATGACTCAAAACAGCTTAATGATCTCGCCGTGGCAATGCCTCCTTTATCTGTCGGTGGTAGTGTGAGTCCCGGAGTTTCGACGAGGCTTATTGGTAATAATTCTATGGATGCCCTTAGCCAAAGTATTGCACAGAAACTCGCAAAGAGAACAGGCTGCCAAGTTTTTGTCAGTGTAAATCTAAAGAACGTTGATAAGAGTGCTGAGCTCGAACTGCAAAAGAGAATCATCGAGGAGTTGACCATTAATCCGAGAGCGTTTAAGTAGACTGCGACCACGTTATAAATAGGGGTAATAACTAGCAAGTACAAGAAGTCCTTTAAGGGTTCATGTTCAGTGATCAGTTGATAACTGTCGTGCCTCTGCAAGCTAGGCTTCTACGGAAATTAAGCGAATAACTATAGAGCCGTGCGTGTGTTACTCACGCGATAAACAAATTGCCCTCAGGGAGCTTCAAATTAAATCAATATTTATTCTTCACAAATAAAATTCAGACGTATGTTATATATGAATGAAGAACGACATTTTTGTTTTCCTTCACTTGAAGCGAGACTTTGTCGAAGGTTTATATTTCTGTAATGCTTTTCGTATTCTGTTACTCTGTCTATTGTTACCTCGGGGTTCGGGTATTTTACATGATATAGATTATTTATGGAAGTATTCGATCAGTTAGAATTTCAGGTTAAGTGAATCAGGACAGCTATATTGAGATCCAGTTTCTTTTTGATAGACTATCGATGTAACTAGAATCAATAAAAGGTTCCCGTTGTTGACCATATGATTTCAGCAGAATATCAGAAACATATTAAAGCATAGCTGTTGTAATGATAAGATTAAGATATAAGAACTGTAGGCCACATATATAATTGGTAAAGATGAATATATGATAGCTTATTTTAATATATTTTAGGACCACTACTCTCTAGCATTGTTATATAACTAAGAGTTACTGATCTTACTTATACACATAACATGGTCAGTAGTAATTAGCGATTTGTTTCGCCTCCATTGCCTAATTTTTTTATAACGACAATCTACGGAGGCTTATTATTCTACTGTTGCCTACGAATATTTGATAAGCGCTACCGTAGTTCAGTTACGGTATGAGGGCTTTTGAGTACCGCCTAAACATTTCAAACGTAGCCAAACATACAACGATTACAATTAATACGGTTCTTGTTGTCCTATGTTGCTTGCTTTTTATTTTCGGTGGATCCGTCGAACGACTGTTCAGCCTTCCTTTGGCCATCTCCCAGCGCTGGGAGAAGGCGAATTTTAACCGTCACAGAGGTTCTTACGGGCTCCGGGAAGACTGCGCAGGTAGCGTCATCAGCAAGTATGTACCGAGAGAAAGAGTCGTAATAAACCTATGCCGAATCTTAATTCTAAAACGAATTTTCATTTCATGAAAAATAATCCAACCACTAACTCGGCCTTGCCTCTTCGGTATTCAAATTATTGAGTAGAGATTGCATAGAAGAGATCGCCATAGATATGTGCGAATTCTCACAGGTTATTATGCTGCGTAGAGTGCTCACTATAAATTATCATCGTTTGTCTTTTATTTTTGTAGCATTTCCGCCGAAGATACTGATCTTCAAAGCGAGTACGCTGAATCTCTTTGCAGTGACTACAGCGCGACTTCATATACTTGCATAGCATCAACTGAGAAGTCTATTAGGTTCTTATGTCTTAAGAGTGCCTGTGCGTCTTCAGTCGCGCCGGTAGATTCCAACGTCACCAGACCAGGTTCAGCTTATCATTTTCATCTTAATGATATGGTGATTAGCCCAAGCATTTTAAACGTTTACATGGAGAGGCCAACACATTGCCAGTGTCATAGGTCAATTATGAACTAGTCTATGATCTGGAATAGCTAGACATTTGTGAAAATTAAATATTTATTTGAAAAAGGCCAGCTGTAGAAATTTGTACACCAATCATTTTGCGTGCGCAAGCTATTTTTCTTAGAGATAATTAACAAATAGCTAAAAACAAATAGGTGTGTTTGATCATTGTTTTACGACAATTGTGTTGTTTTTGTTAACTTTGTGACGAAATTCTGCAGCTTTCATTCAGGTCTTGGAAAGCGTTATTAAATATTGAGCTATGTTAATTCAATTGTGTCTTTTGCCTTAGATCAGTCCGCAGATAATGCCAGAGCCGTTTGAATTATCGAGATGTCAGCCATAGCTAGTTAAATGAACTAATCGTAATAGCTGCGTTATGGTGCGAAATAGTTAGAGTTTTAAATTTGCCGCCGAAAATCAAAAGCAAATCTAAGGTAAGCAGCCGGAACATTTGATCAAGTCAACGTCATTTTTGTATTTGGTAAATTGTTACGGTAGTACGTAAATATACGTAGGTGTGATATGTCAGAATCGCAATAGGCTCAGCGTCGACGTAGGTGAGCAGGAGCCTAATAAACTTATGAGGCGAACATTTCATCTTTGGAACAAGGTTGACGTAGACAAGTACGACTTGAAGTTTGCGGCAAAAGATTTTGAACAGTTAGCGGCACCAACTGTATTTTGCGATCAACTACCTGTTGGTCGAAATATGTGGATGGACATTTAGATTTCACATAGCAGCGAACTTAATCAAATGTGTCAACTGTGTGTACCTCATTTATCAACCGACCCTATGGTAAATGTTCTGTGGTAGTAGAAGACGTTGCTTATAAATCGAGACTACATCAAGACGAGTCTGTGCGAAATGTGATCATTGACTGCCAATTCTATTCAGGCTCTTACACCTGTAAGGATCGGCCCATTTTGCAACACCGGACTCTGAAATACATTCGCTGGTTATTGACAGCTAGTCCATATTACGCAGTGATAAATATTTTCACACTGCTTCTATAATATACTGTATATACACAGATTTATTCGCAAGCAGCTAAAGCCGTATGACACAATACGGCATCCAAAAAACCCGTAATTTTTGTCATGTCATTATGACATTGGATATTTCCAGGCACAGACTTTAGACCTGTGCCGTCTTTGAAGTCGAGCTGCATAACAGAAGGTCGTTAATAAGATCGATAGCTGCTCTATAGGACCTGAGCTCGAACTAAGTTTTACTGCTTGAAATAGTAGAAGTGTGTCAGTATACCGGATGAGGCCTTCGTGTTATTTTCTTTTAGTTATCTTTCCAAAGCATGATTTTTGACGCGAATACGATGGGGGAAACGAACCTCATACGTAACGGAGAATCGATATACGGTAAATTAAAGCGTTATTGCAATGCGCGAGGCAATTGAACCTTCAAGTCAGACAAAGTGAACAGGATAAGTCGTATTGCATTCGTTATATCCGGCCACATCTGTCAAAAAAACCTGTCTTTATACATAAAGGCTTAACCTGACCAGGTTATCATTGAATTTGTCAGTTTTAGTGCAGCTTGCTACACAATGTAATCCAGAGGAATCTAGGAGAACAAAGTGGCAGTGATGTCACCTTGTTCTCCTAGAAACAGCATAAAGGCTCCAGAAAGCGTGTTTGCCTTTCCAGTGTATGACCAGGTAAATGATGGCAAAACTTCCTCAGTTCTATTTAAGTATATGGAATTCGCTTGCCATTGTTCCATCGTCAAAGCAGATGACGAGATCTTAGAGGCTACCAGGATGAGCTCAGTTTTTTGTCAGCCTATGGTCAGCTATAGGAACGTTGTTTAGTGCTATAACGAATAGGCCCAGCGATTTTAGTGTGACGAACGGACAAACCCTAACTCCAGGTCCCGCTTGGAAGTATAACGTCTAGTAGAGACAAGTGGTTTATAACAGTAACATGTGCGAAGCGGAACATTGTGCAAAACTTGTTCAAAGCGAGAGTGCCCCGTGACCAATTAGTTCATATATGTGTTATCTTCATGTACAGGAATTGTACAATAGATCTTTACACTAACGAGAATCATGACTACGGTTGCTGTAAAATCTGTGCATGAGGCGCACGTACGGTCTCCATAGGTCAGATAAAAATCATTACGGTTCGATAAACCCACATATAAATAGAGCTATTTAATGATTACAGCAGCTGAACATTTTAGATTTAGATAGCACTGCCTGTGTGGCCTTCTATTGAATTATACGACTCTCGTCAACAAGCGATTCGGTGCGTCTCGTCCGCAACGGAAGCGATAGCTAACAATCAATGTTCTTATGCTCTTAGTCGTTCCAGACCCTTGAGTAGTCCGCATGAAATCACTATGATTACGATAGACATCTGATTAAATTAGTGTACGTTCGCTACAACCATTCCCTAAGGACTGGACAAACATCCTTTGTGGAGAAGATCTAGAGAAACAGCGTCTGCAAGGGCGTCGTATACATAAAAGAAGCGTGGGTACAGCAAAGTTCTGTTATTATAACTGCGTTAGGCAAAAAGGGTCAACAGGAATCGTGGTTTATTTACCTAGAAATGTGTTTTTGTTTGAGATGCGCTAACTGCTTGCAAACAAATAACTCACTAAATAAATAATGCGTAACTCTCCGTGTCACCATACTATGCCTCTCGGTATCGATGCTGCCATAAAGCGATCGTAGCTCTTTCAGCTTAATTGTATGATCCCTTTAGTCATTGTTAGATTACCTGGCTCTAGAAGCGACTAAGGCTCCTTCACAACATTAAGTTATCATATTTGAGTCCGCTTAATTTGAATAAAATTGTCGAATTTTCTATGCTCATTATAAACGGGCGAATTCCCTATTATCAAGATGTTTCTTCGCGAGCTATAAAAGATGTCTACAGAAGTACATACAAGAATAGAATGTCTTTAATGCATTAATCCGATTAATAAATTTACTTGAGTCCCTAAATATGGGCCGTGGATGTGCCAGGAGACATCTCCTTGGGCACGCTCGAGGAAACACGTGAATTAAATGGTAAGAATTTTGGATACATAGTCATGTACGACACGTGTATAGTCGCAACGGAAAGATCTTAGGTGGCTAGTACAGCATTTGCTCCCAATGTGTACAATTGCAGTTTCCCACGCATTGTGTTGTAATTGATTTAACAAATGTTAATAATATAACTTAGTCTACCTGAAAAACGTATCCCTTGGCATCTGCCGGGATCTGGGGGTAACTTAATTATCTTGTTATAGGTAGGACACGCCAAGGAATGTCGTCTCTGCTAGCACGTACTGCGGCGAATAGGTGTGACCAGAGCCTGCGTTCAAGCAAAATGGTGTAGAAATAAGTCAAGTTTTTATTTTTTCAGGCCTATACAAAGGAAAATAGCCCAATTAGTTTTACCTACTAAATTGGTCGTACTTTATTTCATTTTCAAAGTTCACCCCGCTATGAATGAAACTTATTCAACGATGTACAATAGGAGTATATATGGTTCAGTATGCTATGACCAGTCTTTACAGAGGAATTATATGCTGAAGATGTCATACGGATACCGTTAATAGGAACCTAGATCTGTCAAAATGTTTTGATTGTATCATTGATTCTATGTTAACAACGTACAAAATTCAGTTTGATGCTAAAGCACACTAGAGGTCCTTTTTTGTAGGGTTTATAGACAGAAAATCAATGTTGCCCTAGATTTGGGGATCAACAAAGAGCAACAAAGAGTAAATTCAACAGTGTTTAGCAAAATAAAACGTTAGTAAGGTAAATTAAAAATGAATCATAGATAAATGTTATATCTTCAGAAATGAAAACACAGCACGTATATTGAGACTTGAAACACATCAAATTGTTATATTATGAAATCACGAAAGCCAGTAGAAGTTCGATTCTTCGAAAATAGGATTATTGAAATCGATTAAATAACACGATCTAGACGTTTACTTCATAGAATTTTGTTGGCTATGCAATGGATACAACTAACCCGAAGGAGAGTAGTTCGCAGCCATTATTATAACGGCAGATTTTGTGCTTGTTTACATTTTGTTTTCACATATCAGAGTAACAAACCAAAACGGTCGAAGAGGCAAAGTGTGATCTCTTCAAAATCCGGCCGAATCATGAGCTTGCTGCTCATAGTTGGTGTGGCTGCTTTTGCCAGTTTTATGTACAATGTGCCAATAATGCAAAAGGTTGAAATTAAATCACTTCAGGAATCGCTCAACAGAAACGTTTACTGCCAACAACATGCCGTTGACGGTGAGTAACGAATCGAGTTTTTCTATGCTATCAACTAGGATAAGACGAGGTATACCTTGAGCAGTGGTTATTAATGAAAACTGTCCTTTTGTTATCGTCTCAATTGAAGAACTGATGCGTCATATCCGCCAATACACGGCCATGGAGTGGAAGGGCCTCGTACTTCTGGTTCTAGCCGGACCCGAAGGATGCGGTAAAACCCACACGATAAACACAATGGCTGAAGTGAACCCCAGTTGGACGAAGATCGTAGTTACTCATGAGCAGGTATGGAACCACCCCATCTGACGAGAGTGCTGAGCAGCTGAACCACAAAAACACCTAAAGTCTAATAAGAGCAACGAAAACGCATCTTATAATTAAGTTCTGCCTATGTATTTACACAATATCAAATAAGTTGCAAAGAATTAGTCACGAAAAAATTGATCATTCAATTTTACTCTTACTCAGATGCTAATGTAAAAATCAAATAGACTTACATCAATTTTACTTCAAGTGCTGCTGTGAATATGTCCCCCGCCGAGCTTTGAGCTCATAACCCAGTAAGTGAACGGAGAACATTTGAAAATTCATCATATATATATATATATATATATATATATATATATATATATATATATATATATATATATAGGACCTGCTGTGTAAACTCATCAATGCCTACGATTTCTATATTTCCATTTATATAATATAAAAGGACTTGAGAACTTACATTGACAGCAATACAAACGATATCAAACCTGATTATATGCCCTTACCTGGTAGGATAATACTATATCGTAGTACGATATAGTATTATCCTACCAGAACACAGATTGAAAGCCAAAAAGTTATATTAAATTATAACTCAACCTGTTTTTTGTATTTTCTGTTATAATAACTATAGGGATATCTGAACAAACTGGGTGAGGAGGAGTTCATATCAAATATTCGCAGAAAAATCCATTCCTCAAGACTGAACTTCATTTTTGTCGATGACGCTCAGCCGCTCCGGGAGGGCACGCCGTTTGTCGAAATGAAGCTTAAACCCCTTTTAGCGAGCCTTAAGTTGGAGAATACTCTTATTTTTGTCGTGGTAACAATGCTATCAAAGGACGATAAAGTGGTAAGTATCCAATCTCTTCGCAGATGCTGAAGTCTTTAAGAAGTTGTTGTCAGTTGTTAGGATTCAAGAGTATATTTTTCTTTTTGTAATCATAAATTAAGTTTGTCGTTAATGGTAGTAATTATACTTAGTATGTGATACTCATATTACGGTAAGCTGCTTTAGGCTAGACCACAGTGAACATAAGCGATGCCATCTTCTTAAGCTTTCTCCGAGACACATGGTTTTGTCTCAGATTGAAATTAGCTAGGGCAGTCACGTAGGCTGCCACGCAGACAAGTCCTTCGTTATAGCTTTTCTCTCTGTTTGCATTAAGTGCTGAGACCGAGTTGATCACGGTGGTACTTAGATAGGACTAGAATCTCATGGTGCTAAGATGAGACCATACTAGTCCCAATCTTGGGTTGGTATTAACGTCTATGGGCTCCTTGCCCGGCCAAGACTTTAGAACTGGGGGCACTTTTGAATCAATGTCTCCAAACAGTGTAAGTGGCATTAAAGTATTCTGTTTAGACACTAGACAGCTGGGCACACTTTCTTTTCTAGGGGCTCTTCCTTAGTCAATTTGTGAGCAATGATAGATGTCTAGATAACGGATTCCCACAACTCCATTAAGTACCTGGTAACGCTAGTAGGTAATTAGTTAACAATCGCTAACCCAGCTTAAAGATTGTCCCCGTATACCAAATTCAGAGAATTGCAGCCTTAAGTCTGTCGGTTCACGCGTCTGCAGAACATACATCAGTAAAGCTAAATTTACTAATTTCGAAGTATTCGCACTTTAATACTTAACGATGTAATATAAAGGTGGAGCACAAATTGCAAAATAACCCGATTTTTTATGTATTAGTACGCTCATGATTCTGTTGTTGGCGTACAACTTTTCTCTTCTTATTTCTCTTCTGTAGTATCTTTGATATCACGCCACGGCCAGCTAAATTAGTATTTAGGCATTAAAGTCTGTGCTAAACGGATGATGACGACATTTTCAATAGTATTAAAGGCATCTAGCTTTACTGAACTTGAAGATTCTTTGCGTATATATATATATTGCAGAGTATGCCAACATTTTTGACGGATGAATTTGAATGCCGAATAATTCCCTATGAAGGACTAAATCGAACCTGTGTGGAGCGCTGTGTTCTAGATGTCATAATGGCGTTAGATCATCACCCCCACCAAGACGATTTCGAGGGTTTAATGAGAAGATTCGATTTCGAGGATAACGGCAGGGATCAAAAGGTAATAGCATTTACCTCGAAAATCCATGTACCTTAAAATCCAAATGTGGATAGCATCCTTTCGAAAATCTATTTTGTTATTTTTCTTTTGTTTAGCCCTTGCGGGACTCGGATCCGTCATATTCTGTTTGAGTTGTTTGTTTCTTTGATATTAGAGGCACCAAATTGCCCGCATTGCCATTCCAGATATATAAAATTATCTTTAGTTATATGTGCACCCAAGAAGGCGAAACTTACTGGTACGAATCGAGAATTTGATGAGGAGTGGAAAACCATCGATATATAAATAACAAAATAACGTAATTTATTGGGAGGTCCAAGCGTCTATATTGTGTGATCTTGGGGAGGACGTTACAATATTGTATTTTCTATGAAAACTTTTAGGTATCCGTCAACGGCTGTAAATCGGTGCCTATTAAAGTTGCCCTTTATCTCGAAGGTGATCCTCCGATCTACAACGATTCAGAAGGCGACCGGACACTGTCATAGAATAACTAGTTAAAGCAAGAAACCCAGATACGTCTACCCAAAGCCGCTAAGGCCTTACGCAGCCGTACTTGGGTTGCTTAAACACTTGACTGAAATTAACTCAAAATAGGTTGAAGTTTTCTTCTTTGATTATGTGAAAAAAGGCAGACAGGATCAAAGTTTATTGCAACGTTTATTGATCTGTCTCAATAGGTGACAATATGTATAACTTTGTATCTACTATCTGCTGTAACACCGTATGCAACCCGTTTTAGCTTACTTCAGCGCATAGAAATATAAATATCCTTAATATTTTTCTACCATCCATATTATGTTGTAAATGAAGGTTCCATTGTAGACATAAGAAGGTTGTAGATGTATGTTTTCAGAAGATAGACGCCCTGTACATATTGGAGCCTTAGGCCGAGCAACTGTGACTCTCATTCTTTCACATGCATTAGTTCTTCAATGCCCATTTAGGGCTGCAAGCAAAAGCTGAAGGTGAAACCCACTGTATCGGGCTGGCTACCTTTGGTGGTTTATATTTGATTATGGGGGACCATGCAGTGAGCTGATTCATTAAATTTCCATCGTGTGTACATTACTTGTATGGTATACTCCTAAATATAATCTCTTGGCGGGCAATTACTCCTTGACTGGATTGTGCGGATATGTTTGAGACGAGAATTATCCGAGCGTAGCTTTATTGGATAGGTCATTAATGCGTGTGATGCTATCAGTTTTTGCATTGTCTCCTTAGTACAAGATTATGCATTCAGAAGGGGGATAACTATTAATTGAGTATAAATTACCTTATTAAGTTATTGTGTAACTAACTTTATTCGAAGTTACTATCTGATACAAAATTGTTTTTATCGTAAGATTTTTCTTTTGGCTGTACCGCTTTATCCAATGTTGTTTCGAAACAAATTTTCTGCAAGTGATGATCGAAGCTCGATTATCGAGATCTGGCAATTCTGCGTTCTAATGAAAAGAAATCGATGATAATTTCGAGTATATATCCCGTTCAAATTTCACATTGGGTACCTTGTTCAAACGCGGTGTTGCATATTTGATATAATAGTGACAACATTTCAATGGCGGCTGATGAATGCGGCTGCATCCTGAGAACTGTGCATAAACATCGGACAAGCTCGACGCCTTGTTTACACCCATAATAATTGATAAATAAAAAACCAAATAAATAAATGTTTATTAAATAGGTTTTACGTTATGATATAGTATCATAGATTAGTATTGTATGCGCGTTCAAAAAACGACGATCCTCTTATTTTAGTGCATCTAGATACCCATTGTTTAAGTGACCCTTTAGATGATGCAAATAAGCTGTGAATGCTAAACTTACGATGGAGCCAAAAATTCGTCGTCAATAATAGTAAATACAACAATGTATGTATAACACTAGGTTTGTTTTTCCTATTATGAGTGAAAATTATATGATAATAACATACAACCTGTGCAATATTTATTTCTGATTTTTTTGTCTGTTCCTTATTTAAATGTTAAGACCATATACTGATAAATATTGTTGTAAACAAAATAGAAAACCGAAGGCTTTGAGGTCACAAGCATCGAGAACTGGAAAAGTTTTGAGAGCAAACTTCAGATGGCTCCCAAAAGCGGATCTTCCCGAGCCGTTTTCTTCTATCGTGAGAGAAAGGCAAGAAAGCTGCTTCAAGAGTTACCGTAGACAAAATATGACCATATACCAAAATCGGAGACTCGGCAAAATCTTCACCAACTTCTAGCTACACAAACAGCTAACCAAAGTCCATTAAAACAGTTGATTTTGTGTCGCAACGGTAACGACTAGCGGCAGTACGCAAGCTGCAATGCGAATCAGTATCCCTTCTTCCTTTGAAGCGGTTCTCATAGCGCCGTTACTAGTACGTCAACGAACAAATTTACGCTAATCGTCATTCTTAGAGCCAGCGAGCTATACTCTGTGAGAAGGTTGCCCACTTACTCTGAGTTGTGTCTGCTGCTTCGATAATAAGCCAAGTCCGTGGTTATTTCAGGTTATTGCTAAAGTCATTCGCCGATCAGAAGAGCGCTTTTTATCCCAGACACCAAAGTCTGACTTGAGCAACACAGTATCTATGATATGCCAGGGCACGAAGCACAGCAACCAGCATCAACTGCCTTTTATGGGCCTGCCAACAGGCAGTTTCAGGAAGATCACATACTGCAACGGAGGTACACACATATACCGCTTAGCAGGGGAAACTAAACGAACTGGCTCACGTTTGAACTTACGGATGCCACCGGAGGCATCCGTAAATTTGGGCTCATGGTAAAAACAGGTCTCTTCAAAATGCACTTCCATAGCGATGCGTACCATTTAATGTGCAAGCTATAAGTAAATAAAGCTTATTATTAACGTATAGCATGCGATCCGTTTCAGGCAAAAGTAAAGAAAGCAGCAGACGGCAAACTGAGTAATAATTTAATTTTAGTACAATTATCACCCGAGCAGCGAAGAAGCTAACAGGGCAACTGAACCCACTTGTTTTCTACCATAGACACATTGTAATTGTACCTGCATTAAATCATTTCATTGTGACTCATTAGCTAATATTTGAATATGGTGTATTTGAAACTCTATGGCGATACACGATACAAGTAATTTGCTCCACGCACAACAAGCTATGAAAAATATTTTGTTATTTTTAGTAAGTTGTGGCTCATAACGTTACGCCTCAATGTAAAGTTGATTTATCGTAACCTTAAAATCGTCCTTAAACAGTATCGAAAAAATTTTGCTATATCTTAACAACGTCGTCGTCTCTGCTTGTTAGTCATCTTCCTAGTTTAGTCATGTGAATCAATGACTCTGAGAGTTTTGGTTCAATGTAACAGGCCACTTTATGGAACGCAAGTCTTCACGCGACAGAGTTATTGATTTGGTAGTATAAGTGCCTCCTTGCGAACGTAGGCAAAGCAGTGGTAGATAGAGCCATCATAGCACATAAAATAATTATTACACTCGAACACTTCATTCCACATCTTGAACATTTCCCTTGGCCGACTCTCGAGTGCTCAGGACAACTTGCAACTTCTACCTTGAAACCTCTCTGGATATTAGTACCCGGAACCTGTGAAATGCGCGCACTCAGCCTCGTAGCCACGAAGCCTGCACCGAATGTGTGTTCTTATAACGTGGTCATGTACCTCCTGTTGAAACCCCTTACCTTCTTCCGCTCTTTTTGGGCTTCGTGTACTTAAAACTCAGTGTTCATTCGCCAGTGCTTGAACGAAGTTAATTTCGAGTTGCTACGGCAGAACCATGCATGAACAACCTGTTACAAGTTTATTGAATCTTTGCTTGTGATATTAGTGAATCTATTATGATTCTTGTGCGGCACACAGGTCCTATGTTGTAAAGACACTTCATTTTGTCAAAGATAAGTCTTAGGTCCGACCTTACTTTGCTTCGAGCTCATTATTACCAGAAGGTTAGTTAAAAAACGGTACCATAAATAGGCCTCGGAAAGGTGCGCACCTCGAATGATCGAATTTGACTATCCGCCTTTACACGGGCCAAGAATATCGTTGCGCGCTTAAAAATCGATTAGGCAACTGATGGTCAACGTACGTAGCCTCGTCTCCGGGAGAATCTGTTTTGAATAAAATAATACAGGCGAAATGGCCGACAGCAGATTATCCGCAGTAAACTGATATATCAAGGCTATATTTGAGCGACAAATAAGCACCACGAAATCGTGGTCAGAAACGTTACACACTCGGATCCTTTACTTATAACGTTACATGGAGTAGAGTGATCAACGGGTTGTGATCTACACAAAGCCGAAGCTGGCAGTTGTCGTCAAAAACGGTCAGGTGACCCGTTGTAAAAACCGCAATCATTTAACGCAGGTTTGGGCCAAAAAACTTCGAAATTAGTTTCGCCTGGTATAGCTGGCCCTGAGCTCTGCCTACTAGTATCTTCTAAACTGGCATACTTATATATTAAAGAGGACAACCCCCGCTTGCTACACAATCGCGTTAACGGTGCAAGCCCTTAAATAAGCTATTGGATAATGGTACATAGACAGCGCCTAATACTATGGCTATCTAGTGTGACAGAGGGCGAAAACTGATTTATTGCTAAACGTGCCTTCTGTGGTCGTTCATAAAGCCCCTGGCTTCTCTACATCGGCGATTACAACTCAAGGGTATCCATGAAAGGTATGATGTCGATCACAAAGGACTGCGTTGAAGGCACATTGCTAGAGGCTGTTGCAAAAATATTAACGGCTTTTATAGCTATTACGGCTTTTACGGAAGTCGTATGTGTCATGTAATATGGGTCCCGTTGGTGGCGGCGTTGGTAAAGCTGAGCTTGACAGTAGTAGATATGCTAAAATCAATGAAATATCTTTATTCAGACCTAATACAAAGCGTCATAAAGGTGAATAAAAGTTTTGCAAATACGTTTGAAAACACTATCATAATTAAAGTACAAATGTTGCTTAGGCCCATAGATAAATGTATGTTATAGGTAGGGAAGATGCGTCACAGAACAGAAACGGTCCTAAGACAGTTGCGTCATTTCAGAAACCCCGTTGTAAAAAGTACTCTTCGTAGCGGCCGATTAATTACGAAAAAGGTTGGTGAAGTTTTAACAAAGGTTGAACAAGGCCAGTGGGTGAGGAGCCATGACATCGCTAGGGAGCAGTTTTAAATCGCTGAAAAGAAGCTAGCTATAACAAGTAGCTCGATCTTTGGGCGCCACACCAATTGACACAAAAAAGATATTTGATGGTATTACCATCCGCAAAACCGAAACGATACCCGATTGACCCATTTTTATAGCGGTTGACCACGGATGATGTTGGTTACATACGACAATTCTGACGCCTGACAAAACGATTGATTCGGACCTTTACTCTCACCAGTTAGCAAAAATCCAATAAACCATTAGCCAGACCATATCCATCTTTAGCTACCCAATAAGAATAACAATTAAGAACACATAGATAAGAAAGTGTGAATGCAATCCCCATGTAATCCGAACCATTAGATTTCCAGAACCTCCTTAATCGTGTTAATTTAATGTTAATACAAGTATTTCTACACATTATACATATCGAGCAGATATCGCTATTGTAGCATATACGATAGTTTCATGTTGTCAAAAAACCTGCCCGTAGAGTCGCAAATCCGACGCAGTAGTCCGTAAGAGAGCAATATACCCTAGCTCGAAAAGCAAGCATTGGTAGGAAACTACCAATGTGTTTCTCCAGGAGTTCGCAAAAAGGATTTGATGTAATAAAAGATATCTCTTTCGCCAATAACTGGCCGGATTTTTTCACCACAAGTTACAAGGCTAATCGACGACGCCATCATTCCAAGCTGCTACTGGACTTATCAATTGTATTGTCTAAAAGTCTCAGTTTATCCAAAATGTTCAATAAATTTAGCAATATCTAGAAGTATAGTGGGAATCGTCGTTGCACTTACTTCACTGTCCTGAAATGAATGTATTTAACCTGAAGTCTCCGATTCACTTCTGGCTTTATATACCGTATGTTTTAATACAACTATCTATGCTTCATTGGGTTTGCAGACTAAAATGTAATCTGCAAGCTGGTTAAGGCCATACACCGGTAGTAAACATCGCTTATTCGGCTGACATGATCGGCCGTTGCCTGCTTTATGTACACGAAGGTTCGCTAGTGTCAGACACATATCGTTGTTAAAATAGAAATACAGTACCATTTGAAGCTTTTGTTTTATTGAGTAGGATATTTCCACGGGAGTACACTGGAAATAGGCGCAGTGTGACCAGGTTCGGGTCTCTGGCTTGTTTCGACGAATATATTATAAACCTCTCTTAGCGATGCCATGTCTCTATTAAACAGAAGCAGAAGCCAGTCTGCTTTGTATCACACATGGTAAGCTATGCTGATCGTTCTGAACATGCCACATCTGGACCCAAAAGTAAGCAGGGTTTCAGAATAAGCCGGCACCCTCGGTCAAATTCGCTTGACAAATGACACAATATGGTTCTGTGAGGTGTATGATTGAAACATGTCCGCGCAATAACAAACATACATAATATTATTGTTTCATTGAGCTTTTTGAATTTCATATTGAATCCTAATCTGCGTAACTCAAAAAAAAACGGACCTGAATCGTCATTTTACAGTGTTTATGCAAATGTACATCTGCTATTCAACGAGATACCCTGAGATTGCGTCAAGGATCGAAGTTTGCAGGGTCGACCTGAATGGAAGCTGTCTGTCTACACACTGATGGATTGATCAAATAAGTTGATTTTACCATCGCTGAAAAAACGAATCTCTTCCAACAGACGTCCAAGCCGTCGAAAGCGTAGAGCCAATGGACGTGTGCAATGATTGCTATATTGGGTCAGTTTTTTGTATTTTCGATTTTGTACTCAGGCCATCAGGGACTACTTCAGACGGCCGAATTCAATTTCGATTGTGTTCTGTCAAGTACAAGCAACACAGTCGTCGCCAATCTTCATTCAGCCTCTTCTGCTTTCTCTTCCAATAGAATTACTCAAGTTACGATCGTATTTGCGATAATTTTTGTAAAACAGGACCATTAGGTTTTAGCTGTCAGAGTGAATGTAACACTGAATATTATATTTGTATCATTCAGTAGTCTAGTACGAGGGGGTAGAGGTAAATATTGAAGCATAGTGACCGCTGGTAAAGCTGTGTTGTACTGCTTTCTCCACACAAATACTCTGCTTTGAATATGAAATTTCCTGGATCCGCCCTTTACATCATGGTGTCCTCCTATTAAATCCAAGTCTGCCTAACGAAGACACCCGAAATCGTCACGGCAGATTTTGAAATAGTAGATTTTATATATATGTAAGCTCGCCTTTATATATATAGTATAATCTAAATAAGGAAGTGGCCGAAATTCTCCCCCTAAAACAGATTATACACGATTGGATAAATGACTTAATAGAGTATTAAGAATTGAAAGGCAAAGGATTCAACAAATGCGCCTGTATCATTGCCGCGCTACCCATTCTTGCGGCGCCAATCTGGTGAACGTCCCTCCATTTTTGCTGCGTCTTTTACACATGATACATTAGGGCAGATTTTCCATCACGTGCGATTCAATTAGTGCAAGTTATGACCTTCTAGGTTATTACACTAAGAGTAATAATTCTTTCTGAGGTCTGAGGCCGGTTTGCGAGTACAAAACCAAATGCCATTGATATTACTGCTTCTGAATGCGACAGCTGCTCGGCAACGGATAACGTCGGACCACGTCACGTTCGTTGTTAACTTATACCATCATTACCACAACGCCATAAAGATTTTCGCGATCGAGAGTTACAACTGCAGAATGCGCATTCATTACTATATATATAGATTTCTCACTGTCGTATTATGTGACTAAACTGGCATATAGGGAATATCATTTTTATCTGGGCAGTTATGCAAAACAAGTTGGTCGGTCACGTTTTTTCGATCCCGTTGTGGGCTAAAGTATAAAAGTCTCCGCAAGCATTTGCATTACCATGTGAAACACCCGATCGCTGCCGCCATTTTACTCGTGGCTTTTCCTCAAGTTGAGCATGATGCTTGCCGCCATATTGATCCATAGTTGTTTGTTGATACTAGCTACCTGCCAAGCACAGATAGCTCCGATCGTTCTGACCGGTAAGTACAGAACAATAGAGTGATGTGATATAGTAGGAGAAAAGACACGCGTGACGCACGTGTGATGAGTTTTTTTGTCGAACGAAGCTTCAATTCGTCACAGTTTTACTTCTAAACCAAACGAGTCGTCTTATGTTGTACAGAGGTAGGATTATCCTAAACCTTTACATATGGAGATTTTTTCCAGATTTATGCGTACTTCCACACACTGCCAGTAAGTGTTACCTTAGAGATTTGGGCCCCCTTAAGAGCCCCATACAACATGAAACAGGATGCCTAGGTCATCTCATGAACTCTTATTTGCTCCCAGATACTAAAGTGATGTTCATGATCATTACTATTACGATTATTATCATTGTGGAATTATGCGTGCAGTACCTTAACATAAAATTATAAGAGTTGGTGAAGTAATTAATTTTTAAATTAAATATACGACAACACGTTGCTATTTAAAGGTCCTTCTAGCACTTCTTCTACTCAAGGCATATGGCTTACTTAGACAAAACTGTTACGTACAGAGTTCAGCCGAACGCTTTGAGCCGGTGATTCGCCCCCTGATTTGAGTGTTGTTTTAAATATCTCTTTATTCATCACAATACTGGGCTGACTTAAACTATATAGAATATCGCTTACAAAGTACGAATGTAGCCCAGAGCTAAACATGTGCACCCTAGCCTTCCGTCTTCGCCCCCTCAATTGAAAGCAGAGCAGAATTTGTATAACAACACTTACTTTCTTGTTAGTAACCTATTTCTCACCTGTCAATACGATCCGATAGACTTCACCCACATCTATGTGTAGACCCATAATACTGATCCAAATGTGTAACTGCATGGCCACCTCTTATATGCCTACTGATTTCAGAAGGAACCCAACCACAGCGGAACGTTGCTCCCTTTCAACCAATGTCATTAGATCCATTCACTACTCTAATGATGGCTCCTGCAAACATGGCGCAAGCCCTCGCGCGCTTACTGCAGGGAGGCGTCACTGGACGCTAATGCATTCATTTGCTATCATTCATCACCACGACCAGGAGGATGTATCCAACTTCGTAAAATATTCAGCGATGGCGCCAACGGGAACGCGTTAAGACATGCGCTCTACTAGTTCACGGTCATTTTATCTATTATATATCATGAGCGTCGTTCTACGTAATACGTAAGAAGTCATGCAGTATGCAAATGCGCGTAGATTTATAGGTCACGTAAAAGATATATCGGTTTGCCTAGCAGGGCTAAAGTGGTATGTCCTATAAGATCCTTACGTGTAGCAACATTCTGTATGGTACGTCCAGAGAGCTGCATGTTCAAAAACTAGCATCCCCATCGTTATCGTACCTCAAATAACTTCCCCACACTTATGTATTTGATCTATTTAAATGTGATATATTACGATTTAACTACAACAAGAATAAATCGTAACATAGGGCTTAAATCGGACTGTTGATTTCACTTAGCCGTTCTCTTTTAATAGCAATAAGAGGGAACGACGATTTTGATTTTATAGTTTTGAGTCTAGTGCTACCTTTCTTATTCTGTTTTCTCCTTCCAGGTTCATTTCCGCATTGTCGCTTGTATGGTAAATGTGATAGCAAATCACTGAAAATATATCATAAAAATAGTCGTGTATTTGGGTATTTGTATGTTTCGGAAAATACAACGGTTCTATATTTTCTGAATGTTTCTGCATTCGGATGCAATGAAAAATTAATTAATAAATAAAAAATGTATTTGTATTCAAACTAAGTGCGGGGGCATTCGGCCTGACTTTAGGCAGATTTTCCTGTTATAGACGCATCGGTTTACGTTTAGGTCTTTCTGAGAGCCTTCATGTGTCTTGTGGGGACACACAGGGTTACAAGTGGGTATCTCTAACTATCAATCTACTCTTGATACTGAGCCCACTCAATGTCCGTACCTCAATGAGGGCAGGTTGAATTGAGGGGATCCCAGTAACGGGGGGCTTAGGGATCGTAGCCGCTGTCTGAGATGATCGAGGTGCGCTTCCTCAACCGGAAGTCCATTGTCGCTCCCATGGGCGTGCCTGTCCCCTTCAGGCGCTTTCGTATCGCTTCACGGAGAGAGTATTTCCCCATCTAGTCCATATTCAGTGTCCAGACTCTCATTCATTGGAGTCCTCGTTCTCCTCGGAGTCCGCGCTTCAAACTCGATCTTTATCCTCCTCTTCTTCAAGATGAGCTGGATCAGGTCCTCGTCTTCCTGACATTCGTCCCGTTTCGCCCCGCATTCGTTCCTCACATAAAAGTTGTCCGTGTTCTTAACCATCCTGATGATGAGAACGATACCAAGTTAGAAGTAGATGCGACGCATAGGATGAGCACATACCATACGATGAACCATCTACACTCCGCCAAAGTGGACCCGTTTCGGCCACAATGTATGTACAATGTACAGAAGCATGTAAGAAACATGCTGCTGTACATTGTACATACAACACTGAAGCCGGTTGCTGTGGGGACTGAGGTCGCTGCACCACTAACTTCGTATTCGTTAACAACCGACGCCAGTACACAGGAGCATTACTGCGGAGACGTCTAGCGCTACGCGAGTCCGATTTTGCCCTAGACGCTCGATTTCGCGCATGCCCTCTGTCATGAAATAACAGCCCGTGTCAAATGCAATCGGAAGCGCGTAAACCTTATGTAGAGATGACGGCCACTGTCGTCATAGTGATCAGTCCTATCTATAGGCGCCTGGACAATGTGAGGAAGAAGCTAGAAAGACTTTGAGCTGTGGAAGTAGCTCGTTCAGCGGCTCTTCGATGACCAGCATGAACTAGTACGGCTGGCAAAAGACGCGTGCGTCTTAAGCTACATGCACCAAAATGGATTTATATAGAAACCATTAGGAAATCTAAGTCGAATATATCATCCCTGATTAATTAACTGTAACAGAAATTAACTTAGACTTCAGTGATTAAGGTCTGTTGAGGGTAACTTTTCGGCTCTCGCACAAGAAACAAATACAATTTATTAGTCATGGCACATGGCAGCGAAAGTTAATTGTCGAATCGAATAACTGCAAGAACCGCTCAAGCAATGAATCTAGTTAATCAGCTATAATGTAATAGCGCCATTTGGTAGCTCTAAAAAAATATACATTTCCCTTCCAATAACCAGACCAAGCGATGAACGGATCTGTGACTTCAATGCCGTCACCCATCGCGTTCCACCTCCCATACCATGCTAGCTTTATAGGACGAAAGTCAATTGTTATTAAATATTTTCATTACGAGTTTGAACAGCACAGTTCCCTCCGAAGCAGCCGGACCGCCAAAGCGGATGCCATCCAGCTGACTTAGTGCTGGCTACCTAACTCACGAAAGGCTCGATTTTAATCCACTTGGTTCGAACGAATCTCCTGCCGAGGCCACACGTGTCTCAACGATGCATTATTATAGCCAGCAGGCCATAGGCACATATCGACTATAAGACGTGTATGTATGCATAGCGGTCCATATATCAACAACACAAAGCGAACTGCACGACGGCCAATGAATATGCATGAACACTTAGACAGCTGCTACTGCTAAGAAATTATTTGACAGCCTTGATGGAAGATGGATATTATATGCCAGGGGGAGCTGACGAAACGGAGACAAAACAAGATCGACAAAGTAAATTCGCTGGGCCCTGACAAGCATTTATGTTTTTTCCACTTTAAACCCATACGCAGATGCTGCTGGTGGGCTGGTGACGGAGTGACCCATTTGGATGAGAGCTGGTTTATTTTTTTTACCTATACACTATAATGAGGCTTTTGTTGTTTTTTTTCTTCTTCATTAACAGAGGTCATATTTCGTTGAGTCGTTTGATTACATTCAATGTTTAGGCAGGAAAGCTAGAACGTTCTAGCGTTTCAAACATCGATGTGATATTGTTCAATTACATTTAATGGCTCTAATCGCGTTCTGTGCATCTTGTCACTTTCCCGGGTAAGCACTGTAGGATCAACCCAGAAAGACTAGTCGACACGACGTTCTATGGATAAGAATGTCATCTCTTCAAGCTACTTCGGAGTCTAAAAAAGATGTCTTATTTCTGTCAGCTTGAGAGCTTAGCAATGTCGTGAGAATCCAAGCTGTGAGATGTACCGCGAAGACGTCGTACGAAGCGCTCGGGGAATAAATGGGTTCTGGTGCCCCTATGTTAGTGGGCTCTGTGACGTCCGCCACGATAGTCACCTGATCAGGCGTCCATTTGCCTTTGATTTTCAGTGCTCAACAAATGGAAGACCGATACGTTAAGCGGCGTGAATTTTGTTTTTCAGCATATTTCCCGCGGTTTGCAAGTGTCGAAGTGGCTGGAAGAATCTAAGTGTGGTCGAAACTTAATTTGAAAATCTATATATAAAGGACAGAACGACCCGCTGGTTGTTCAAGGCCACATGGTCGACTATTATGAAAACATCGTTTCTTGAATCCCCAACGCTCGTGAAACGTTTTACAAGCCAAAATGGCCTTCGAGGGTCGCGACAACCTTTTTTTGGGTGAGCTCACCATCGCCGCAATGTATGTATGTGCCGTAGTGCCATACAATTGAAAGCTGTGGATTACGTAAGGCACTGTTTCATTACTATGTATCGTCACAACATTTCTATGTGCGATAGCAGAACTACGTGTTTTATAAATTGCTCCTGTACAGGTTCGATATTTCATATATTTGTTAGATTTCATTTTGATACGAGAAAACGTTGAGCGCTATTGACGATTGGAGCTTATTTATCGGAGTAAACATAATAGGTCGATTATTCGCGTAACGTCTTCGTTATTACGTCACTTCGAAAGCACGTCAAAACAGTATAGTCCTAGAGGGAGAAAACCGACATGCATATATTAAAGAAGGCGGCAAAACTGCAACCAGAGGTAAATAGAGACGAGAGATTGCTGGTTGGATTATACAGAACTAATAAAAAAAATGTTTTACGCTGTTTATCCTGTACAGCCATTGGACATTGCCTTGGACTCAACTTAATTCGACCAATTTTATTTAGCAAACAGCCATTGAAATGGTACTTGAAGCAAACAGTGACGAGCTGACATCTCATGACGAAAAAAATGCCAAATTTCATTGCTAGGTGTTCTCGATCCTCATTCAAGTCTTTATGCTACAGTTATTAAAAAATTGTGTATAATTCCTTATGGCCCCGTGCCAATATTAACTTTCCTTGATTAGAATCATTTACGTGTTAGCTTTAAATAATTATAAACCAACTCAGCTATACATTTAAGTTACGTATAATGCCTAATTTATTATAATTATTAAGGTAGCTATACCAGTCTTAGTCATCATATGTTATCCGTCTTAATGTTGTATTAACTTCGAATTTTCGAATAACTTTTATTGTTTTCCTTAACAATGCCCGCCCTTCCTAAATCCCCTGGGCCAGGCTTGGATCACGTGCTCGTGCATACTACACAAATATCATCTTTATACATAAAAGACGGTGAGGGACTACTAAGAGAGGAACGGGGGCATATATAGTATGTCACCTACGATCGCCGTCCTCCTTCAGGCCAATAAATTCATCTTTAAGTTTGCGGCTTAGCCAAATTTCGATGAGCGCTTGCGGTCGCCGTGGCCGCGTCAAGTTCGATAGTTTTAGGTCATCGTCCCTTTCATCGGCGTCACAGGCTTCTTTTTTTGCTAAGAATAAAGTTTAAAATTGAGCTTACGGCATGTCTTCCTTTGACTCGCTAGCCTATAGTTCGCCCTGCAACGGCCACTGCCCTAAAGGGAGTAGTGGTGATGGCCCACGAGGGTTACGAGATCGCTATTCCCGTATCAGCTAGCGAGAGGATGGGTGGGAGAGAGCACTGACACCGGAGTCACTTTGGGGCAAAATTAAATAAAAATGAGATTAAACTTTGATACATGATCCTTATAAATAGACGAACGCTGTCAGCGCTCGTCTGCGACGAGGCGCTTGCGGTGTAAGTGGCTTCGTAGGCATCAGCCAGCGGTCGGTAATAGGGGTAACCTCGCCTCGATCCACATTTGCTGACAGCTAGCGACACCGATTGCATCTGCATAACTCATTGACACGGGTCTTGCCAGCCAGCCAGCCAGCCTGCCTGCCTGCCTACTGCTCCACTAGATACATCTACCTACTATAGAAGTCCGTGTTTCTGTTTGTTTGTCGGCCCAAATCGATATCTTAAAGTGGTCGAAATGTTTTTTTGTGGATCGCTGGAGTTTTGCTCCGTAAAGATCTGTGGAAAAGATGGTGCCTATTGTCCAAACTATTCGCTTCCTAGAGGCGAAAGTTTGCTTTTTACCGCCATAAAACGTAATGTTAACTTAATTGGTCGTAAATCGATGCTAGTAACTCTGCCGCTTAAAAATACTAAAGGGGCCATTAACATGGTTCGTGCTAATATAGCATCAATACAAAAGTCGTATTCCGTGAACGAATGTGCCTGACGTCTGTGACGTAACATGAATAAACAAACTGTTTTTAAATTGTTTTGTGGAAAAGGCTATTAAAGGACAGCTGGCTGCTATTATAAATCGATTTTATTTCTATTAAATATCTAATTGGCATTTTAGCACACCACAGGTAAAGTGAGATGAATGTGTCTTATAGCATAATAGGCGTAGGACGAAGCTCCAGGTTGGCGGTCTAGTGCGCGTCTATGATACATAGCTTGAACATGTCTAACGCTTGGTATATGAACGTTTGCGGT